CCTGCAGGGCACTTCTCCCCATCTGTATTGGTGGGGAAGGGATGGTCGGCTGTCGGCGATGGGGGGTAGCAATCCCCCAGCGACGGGTTACCGGCGCCGGCGGTGGCGGTGGCGGCCTCGCCGACCCCGTACAGGTTGACTTCCGAGGTAGGCGTACCGTCCCTCCATGCCAGGTCCCAACAATGACTCGTCGACGCGAAGCGTGATGTCGGCGCCGTCCCACATAGAGTCTACGGAGCGTAGGTAAAGAGGTATCGTACATTGGTCTGCCGGCGAGTTGGCGAGCTCTGCCTCCCCTACAATGCCAGATGAGATCGAGACGGGAGGCGATGGGACCAGGCCGGTGACGGCGCGCGAGCTGTCCAAGATGCCGTACGTCGCAGTCTGAGATGTATCGAGCGGAGAGTCACGGTAGCTAGGTGAAGGAAGGAATGTGAAGGGTAGCAAGAGGCAAGCACGGGCTGGGAGTGAGCCGGTGGCGGCAGCGGTCGATGGATGATGCGGAGCAGGTGTTTGTCCCTCTTCCCCAGTGATGCGATTACTTGACTGGATAATGATAATACTCTCTATATATCATGGCGATGTGCTCGAGTGCGGAGAACCAATCTGACAAGTGATGATCTTGTGAGACGATCGGCTTACAGGTACGACACCGCCCAGCTGTGCCGCGTACGAGATCTCAGATTCACCCACAGCCGTATGATTGTCGGTGACAAGCCAAGGATTTCAACCTTGTAAGTGTCCTGTTCAAGCTGGTTCCGTGGCTCGTAAAAGGGAAGAAAAAAAAGTAGTCGGGTGTCTATCATTACTCCGTCGTTGCATAGGAACGACGTATGTAGTATGGGATCAGCCAAGGCACTCAACTGCTCCGGCATCCGAATCCCACCGGTGCGTGAGATTTGATTCTAGGTGTTGCCGTAGCCTGTAGGCTTCGTCCCTACTCTTGAGAGATGATCCCGTCATCAGCGATGCTCATTCTTCGTCTTCCTTCGATGCTGGCCCGATGTTGCCGTCCACGTCTTTCTTCTCACCCCATCACTATCTCATCTACCTTGCCTTGACGACTTTCTCGTCTGATTCACGCGAGTCTCGACAACGGAGGCGGTCCGGTCACGTATGCAGCATAACCCCATACCCCCGCGCCGTAGTGAACGATGCACACCAGCAGAAGCCCCCGCCCTAGCAAACGATCGGGGACGCCCAGCTACCAGAGCTCTGCTTTTCCTTACCGGTACCAACACGGACATAACTTACGGCTAGAGGATCAAGGGGGGGGGAGGGGCGGGGACGGTGTCCCCTCCATTCAGCATCCCCTATCGCGACGTACCAGCGGCAGCTGTCTCGGACAGGTATCGTCGTAGAGTGCCGGACCTCGTCTCTATACCCGAGCTGCGGGCGTGATGATATCCGGAACAGGCGAATACCAGGCATGCACCCCACAGCCATGCGCTTCTCGGCTCCAGCTACGGGAATGCGGAGATGGAGTATCGTCACGACCAGGAAGAATCAAGAAGGAGACGTCCCATGAACGTTCTGCACCTGTCTTGTATCAGATCGGCTGCTCCCCCCGGATCCGACACAGTGACACACTGCTCACGATATCAGATGCCTTTGGATTCTTGTCTCTTATTTTTCTGTCAAGCCCTCTCTTTGCTCGGATCCTCAGTAGCAGCAAACGAGTTCGGACACGTCTGCTCTCTCAACGTTGGGCAGTGCCATCGAGGTAAGGATGGTATGCGAAGCAGCAGAGCGGTGCGCAAGAGTCTGTCCAGGCTGGCGACTTGGACGACCTTGTCCGCTATTACATACTACTCGGCATGGATCAGAAGATGAAATCAGAGACTAGAGGTTGGCTGTCGTGTTGCTGCTCAACGTGTTAAGCTTGACGGTCGTATTGATGGCTGGTCTCGATGCCGACCTGGTCGTACGGTTACGGCCAGCAGCACATCACAACCACTCTGCAACGTGAGGGAACGGACGGCATGGTCCGAGATATCACTATGCTTACAGCGTGTTTTGGCCTTCCCTTTGATGATGCCCCTGATATCTGGATGTTCATCGTCGTCGTCGTCCGGGTTCAATATAAGCGGTCAGCCTCCACTTCCTACTTAGTGCTTACATGTAATACTGCATCCTTGTCGATTTACTTCCCCTGTCGTTTACTTCTTTCCAAGGAAGAGAAGTCATATATATGACATGTTTCTTTATCTTTATATTACTTTCATGTGTCCTACCCTTCTTCTTCTTCTTCTTCTTCTTCTACTTCTTCTCCTTCTATCTTCGTTCAAAATCATTCTCATCACTGCATGTACCGCAGCTGCGTTACACCGCATATAATATATTACCGCCACACAGAAGCGTCATGCACGAGGCAGACGCAACAAATGGCTCAGAAGAATCTCATCTCCTTCATCCTCATTCAGCGAATAGCGAAAAGAAGAGGGGGGGTAAGGATTGACGTAGTGGGGAACGAGACAACATGACGATGCTGGCCCCCATCTCGTCTGCGGCCCCTCAACGTGCCCAACGGCAGGGTGGCCTTACATGTAATATTTTCTTTCTTTCTTCCTTCTTTCGCCGTCGTCGATGATGCGAGCTTCACTTGCCGTGATGGCTACGAGTATTGTGTCACCCAGTAATAGCTCGGGTCACGACATCAGCTGAGCAAATGACCGGCAATTGATCGGAATCGTTGCGGTCAATGCCTGCGCGGTTCTCGCAGTTACATGTAGTAGTAATATGTGACAGCGTCTCAATCTCGCACAACCCTCCCATCTCCGCTTGCCAGAGGATGACAAGTGCCAGTACAGGCCTCTGCCCTCACTCGTTCCTGGTGGTAATCTTCATCTCCGTGACTGGCTCTACGGCTTCCACTGCTGTTCGGGTAGCCAGGTGTGCATTGTTTACTCCCGTCGGCCTCGCCAATCATTCACATTACGGGAAGACCACCCGTCCTATATAAGATGCGGATCACCATCTTGTTCATGGATCACGATACGAGTTATCGTACGGGAGCTGAGCGGGCCGAAATTAGCGTGAAAGGGTACTGCAGGAAATCCTAGCACGTCTGGGCTGTCAGCCTTGTAGCTTCCCGCGCAGCTGCTCGGGAGCATGCGCGAGGGAGTTTCCTGATTCTGCAAGCCTTGGTGATGAAGGGTTTGGCAACAGCAAAAAGAATCCGGCAGCGAGTCTGGCATGGGGGGGGGGGGAGGGGTGTAGATTGCCATCTTATGCTCAATTTATTGTTGAGCTTACTCTTGTTAAAGGCTCTCGCTTGGATTATACCGCATCGNTAAAGGCTCTCGCTTGGATTATACCGCATCGAGAGGATGTCCAGTCATAGACGGGCGTTATGGTGGGGGGGGGTTGAAGTTCTCTGTTGTCACGCGAAGCTCGGGCAGCAGCGGGAGGTGGGGGGGAATGAGGGCGTGGAGGGGGGAGGGGGGGGGGGGGAGTCTGGCGGGGGGGGGGGGGGAGGGGTGTAGATTGCCATCTTATGCTCAATTTATTGTTGAGCTTACTCTTGTTAAAGGCTCTCGCTTGGATTATACCGCATCGAGAGGATGTCCAGTCATAGACGGGCGTTATGGTGGGGGGGGGTTGAAGTTCTCTGTTGTCACGCAACATTGCAGTGGATCAGAAGATTGCTGACTTCTATCGCGAGACAGGGGCAGAGAGGAGGGGAGTACGACGGCCGGGAGGAAGCAGGGAAAGATGTACAAGATATATATATACGAGATCTTGAACAGTGAGGTGTAGAGCTTGAATGCGAAACCGCAGCTCGTTTTGAAGAAGGCCAGCGAACGATGGAGGGAAAGCGGTCAACAGGCTGGGGAATAACGGTAAGTACGCGGGTGGCATGCATGTATGTCGATATTATCTAGGCCTATAATCATTGATCAGTATATACTCCATGTTCGGAACGGCAAGTCCTAGAAGAATACCCGTGCGAGCCAACATCTATAACACACTGATTCGAGGGGTTGTCAGCACTTTCTTAACCAAAGTGCAATATTGGGCGAGCGGAAAACATAGACCTGGCGGCAATGCATTGTCTGTATGTAATATAATATTGCCTGTACGTTGTCAGATCTCCACATGTAATACGGCACTCTACATTGAGCCCGGCGCTGACATAGAGGTAAGCACTTGGCTGCGGGTCCGACAGCGATATCACGTTTTCCTTGCACCACCCATACAGACTGGGATCGACTATTGGTGCATGGCTGGCAGGGTCGTTGGAAAAGAGCAGATACATATGCTATGTATGTATACAGTGGTGCTGGAAAAAGGGGCCTCGTTCGCTCATCTTCGCAAATGACTTGGTTGCCCCGGGCCAATAAGTTATGTAGTTATAATATCATGGATACGGATGGCTCTCAGGCTCCCCTGGGACGGAGAAGCTGTACAAGGTCCACCCAGCGTATACCCGCTTGATCTGGTCGCGCAGCCAGGTTGTAGTAGTATTACATGTATTGATATTGCCTTGTCAATCTATAAGCCGGTCAGGGTATCAGAATCATACATATATGTCTATGCCCGCATCCGTTCGTTTTTTTCTGCAAGAAAAACAGTCACCACAAGGCGGATCACTGCTACACGACTACTCGCAGTACTCCCCGACGATTCTTTCAGAGGCCTTGTCTGACCTGCCCAGGAAAACGAGAATGACTTCGACGGCGACAACAGCTCTTGTGGGGTGGTGGACAGCAGACGGAGGTCCGACATCGGGTTAGTCTCGTCGAATATGGCTGCTTCTTTCATTCTTCCCTAGGTCGACGATATCTCCCGTGTCACCGCACGGACGGGCTAACTCATCCAACCCAGCTGTCTCTCTTACCGTCAATAACCCATGGGTCACGTCTGGTACGATCGCAAGCGACTGTTTCACGGACGACGTCGACAAATGTACACTCGCTACTACTTGCGTGGGCAGCAGGCTTGTTTACCAAGACGGCTCATTCGAAGACTGGTACGTTTACGTGCATGCGCAGACAAATTGGGCGAGGGGCCCTCGGCTTTCAGAAGCCGACGATTCACAACACATTGACGTCAATCTCGTTCGCTTTCAACGCTGATTGATCTGGATCGCAGCGATGACGACTCCCGATGCACCTCCTTCAAGATATTCCACAGCTCTCCCTCTGCGGGCCCGTCAGCGACAAACTATGCCTGCCGACAGCAATGGCTCGCTCGCACGGTCTGGGTGGAATCCCCGGTATACATAACGACTACCAGCACCGATAGCTCGGATCAAGACACCTCCTCCGCCTCGACTCCATCTGCCTCCGCTCCCTCCTCGGATGGTTCCCTTAGTGACCCGACTAGCACCTCCAGCCCCAAGCCTGCCAAATCTTCGTTATCAGGCGGCGCCATTGCCGGAATCGTCGTAGGGATCGTCGCAGTTGTAGCCCTCTTCATTGCCGGCGCGCTCCTGTTCCGCAGGAAACGAGGTTTCAATAAAGTCGCAGCGCTGCCGAGCCCTGAGCTACCTGGGCACAGCGCCTCTGAGCTGACCGGGCATGATACGTCTGAGCTGCCTGCTGGAAATCACGTCTCTGAGCTACCACCTATGGGGTACGCTGATCGCGGCCCGTACGAGGCTCCATCGGCCGGGAAGTTGGAGGAAGGGGTAGCTCGCAAAGGCTTTCCGATACGGGAACACAGGTCTGAGTTGGAGTGATGGAGGGTTATAAGCTTACTCGGAATGAGCTCATAGGCATAGCTGCTCTTCCTCTTCGGTTCTCGCAGCAACATAAGCAGATCCAACTTTCACTTTCGTCACCGCCATAGATGACGATGTAAATTTGTCCCTCGCCCGTCCACTCCCCACTCCCCTTCTATGCTTCGGGAGCGTAGAGTGTAGATGAGCACATGCGATATCCATACAGGGAATGCATTGCCGTGTAATGGTGGATACGAGTAGAAGGCCTACTTGGTAGGCACTAATACAGATAAATGTATATAATATTCAACGCCTCACGCACACAAACTCCACTGTAAAGCCCTGGTATAACTCTCTAGGTATTATGAATCGCACATGGATAAGATGCGGGTAAGAATCAAGGAGAAGAAGAAGGGTAAAAAAAAAAAAAAAGCAAGAGAATATGGTAAACGAGGTCGAATCTCGTCGATCAACTCCGTCCGCCGGCGAGTTGAGCTTAAGAAAGCTCCTGTCTCCCCTTGTTACCGGAAGCTTCGAGCTCCTGTGGTTCGGCTGTTCGGTAGTAGTACTGTTGAAAAACCTCATTGCCTGCGGTGCCTAGGGCGGTTGGCTGATACGGGTACTTGTACATCTCCGCACCATCGCGTTCACTTCCAGCGGGAGTAGCGCCTCCGGCTCTCTGTTTCTTCCGACGGTGACGATAGAGGAGGAGTGCGCCTAGGGCTAGGAGTATCACAACCGCGGCACTCCCAACCCCAATGCCTGCTGCAGCCCCGGTAGAGAGTCCTTTGTGGTCTGGCGACGGTGTACTGTGGGTTGGCTTAACATTGGCTGCAGTCGTCCCTGCCGCAGTTGTCTCCTCTATCGTGTTTGAGGTTGATATCTCATCAGTTGCCGTTGCCGTTTCCGTTGCCGTTGCTGTTACAGGTACCTATAAGAGAAGGAGGAGAGTGCCGCGATCAGTTTCCGTCGGTCGTGTCAATGCTATAGCTCATCTTGACATACCGAGATGAGCTTGATACCCCATGCTTCGATTCCCTCTTCCGTGGATGGTGTCTTCGTCAACGGTGACTCTGTAGGAGTTTCCAGGTCGATGTTTGTCTCGGTGCCGGTCCAGACAGCGCCTACAGTGGCTGTCGCGTGGCAGCCGTACTCATTTTCCTTGCACATGAAAGAAAATACATCCCTCGTCACACTAGATGGCGTGAGCAGGTGCCTATACCAGAGGTGGCCGGAAAGCCGTCGACATACCTTGGACAACACGTGACGGTACGAGTGCTCTCGGGGCTGCCGGTGGCACAGGCAGTCGTGTAGCCACGAGGGCAGTCGCCGTCAGTGAGGTAGGGCTGGTTGATGGTGAAAGATGGGGGGACGCAATCGCCCGACGGCGTGTTACCGGTGAGCACCGGCGTCGGCGTGCCGTACATATTGCTGAAGAACGATCCGCCGTCCAGCAGGACGTAGTAGTAGTTTGTCGAGGCAAAGCATGATGTCGGTGCAGTCCACGTTGACGGGAAGGATACCAGGGAGTCGGACATTTTCGCTGGCAGTCGGTGAAGCCTCTCTCTCTCCTCTGTCCTCTAGATACCAACAAGGAAAAGTGATGAGTGATGTGATGGATTGATCAGATAATGATAGCACGGTACACCATAACCGGCCCACGGGCAGCGAGGAATTTCTCAAAAGACTCACAGGTGCAGGACAAGCAGAGGATAGGACGCTGCGAAGAGAAAGGTAAGAGGCCGCGGGTGGTAGGTAAATGGGAGGTGCGGATGAGTGTTGGTTGCCGAACACTTCTTTCCCTTTAATGCATATATGGATGGGGCCTGCATGGGCTGTCGAGGATAGCAATAGACCTATCCCATCCTGGAGAATCGCTCCATACTCGTAGACGCCCAAGTACATGCATGCCCAGTGTACCAGGAGTCTTGCCGTGTAAGGACATGGTGAGAGAGCGTACGGAGTATGTACTGATACCGGCTCAGGCTAACAAAGAAAGCCTATCCAGGACCGGGGTAAGGGTTCTCAGACTTGCGTGCGTCGAAATCAGTCTGGACGCAGTATTGTATCGTAGGCATGAGACCGACCCCAGCGATTCTTCTACCTAAAACCAACAGCCCATTGTTGGTCGTTGGCAGTGCATCTAACATGCGCTCCACCAATACCCCCGAACTGCCCGGTGTTTGTAAGGCCACATCCTTGTCACCGGCATCATCATCCCCCCTCCTCTGCTTCATTGGCCACCGCCCCAATCGTCGGACGCTCATAGGGGAGGAAATTGCGTGGCATGGCTTACGCTCGAATGCCTCCAAAATGTCGTAGGCGGCGAGGCCGTCTTGGCATGCCCCGTAGAAGGATCACCTTGCAAAGTGCTATGCAATCCTCCACCGTCAGCTAAGGACATAGATGCTAGCAGCGCCTCTGTACAGCAGGCGAAGCTACGACGTGAACGCGCCCTTTACCTGAAGCAGAAGCGGCGCATGATCGTATGTATCGACGTGTTAAACTCGAAGCTAAGCGCCGCTCCGTATATAGAGCGGGTCGGCACTGGTTCGAGACGTACGTGTACGGCCGTATTTGGACACGACGAAAAAGTCCAATGTCGTCTGGTACGGCCACACACATAGTCGTAGGATACGACGGTTATAGCCGAACACCGTTCCAAATAGACGCCATATATTGACCATCGTAGAATGTCTTGGACGCCTTCCCCTAGTCCGTAGCTGGTGAACCCGCACCGGCATTTTATGTTTTAGATGTACTGACATCAGACGTACTAGAGGAGTCTTGGTCTGCATCGAGTCAGTCGTTGCAAGGCAGGGTGTTCAGAGTAGGGCTACGGATAGTTAAGGAAGTCCATTCATACGCTCTCGTAAGCGCCTTGCTGCGCCACTAGTAGCGACAGCTACCTGCACTCCCTGTTTATGCATGGATGGTGTTTTCAAAACGCGTCAGTGAATCCTTCGCAGGGGGCTTTCAGCTCCCTTTCTCGTTCGGTATAAAGCTTGTCGTGATGTGTATTACAGAGTACGGAGTAGACGAACGGGGATTATCATATCTTATTCTGCAGAGTAGCGGATACGTGGCGTATGAGTGATACGTCGCAATGTGCTTAAAGTCGCAGATATAATCTGTACTACTACTTGATAAGAGACCATGAGAGGGTACGGTGGGTCGGGTGAAAGGCCTCATCTCGTCTTCCACCCGTTGGCCCTGACCCATTGCCCGATCTAATAGCCAATCACTCCTCCCCCTGGTCGCCGGTGCTGATGTCGTTGGCACTACCTGTAATCTGTAGTTTCCGCCTCTCTCAGCTGGCGCACTGCGAGGACAATCCCGAGTTCGAGCACCGTCCCGAGTTGCCCACAGAGGTTCCTGTACATTTACCCTCAAAGTCGTTGACAGGGGTCTCGGCCATTTGCAGGGGAAGGGGGGCCGGGATGTGACCGCGCGCTTCCCCTCTTCTCCCGCCCTCTCACTTCGAGACGGTATGCTTTACCTGTTGGCGTGCAGCAAGTACGAATGCATGTAAAAGTATGCAGCCTGAAAGTACTAAACCGATAGTGAGTAAATACCGTGGTTATATGCATCTATCTATTGGGCTTGTTGGTTGTCTCTGCATCATTTCGCATTTTGCCCTCAAGATTGATTTGTTCGATGTCAATACTGTGTGTGCAGACAACTCCTCAGCTCCCACGATTTTTCAAATCGTTTTAATACCACTTGTTCCGGTCATTGTTCGCAGCTTCATTCTCTACTTACTTTCTTCTCTCTCTCTCTCTCTTTTCCTATCGTGAACAACACAGCATAATATTCGTTGTCCTTTTCATCCTTTATACCTTCCCGTCTCTCTTTAAGCCCCTCCCCACCCTCCCCCCCCTTTCTTTTTTCTCTCCCACGCGTCCGTTTCATCCGCCGTGATGGGCGCTACTTCAATGTTGGACAAGGCGTGGACGGATGCGGCGCAATCGTGGTACCACACAAGCCGGCGATGCAGGGCAAATCTCCTCATATGCTGTGTAGCACTCCTGGTTCTCACGGGAATATGGACTTACAGGACGACGGATCGTGGCTTGAGCATGGTGAGTAGCAGCATGGACAGCCTATCTCAACCCCGGTGCGGACCAGCGAGACCGTGTTCCATCTCTCGCAAGATATGGCAGATTATGCTGCCCAAGATTTCGAATTCTCCCAGCGATATCCCGGACCCTGGATCCCTCCAGGACACGCCATCATGGCTGGCCATGAACCCTGACTATAAGTAGTAGGTAACACCAACTTTTTCTTCCTCTCCACATCCCCGGCTTGGTTTCACAGTCAGGGACAAACGGCTCCTTTTTTTGTCTTGTGTTACTGCCAAGGAACCCTTCCGCGTACGGCATCGGCCCACGAGCCGAAGAAGAAACCGGGGGTTGGCAGAGCTGAAGTCAAGTCTGCAATGAAAGTCTGTTGGCGGGGTTGCGGTTAGAACATCTACTCACATAGACCCAGCACTTTACTTGGGGAACAGGGCGGCAAGGGCTTCGTCGAGAAGCACTTTGCCGACGACCGTAATGTCGTCGAGGCATACAACAACCTGACCAACGTGGGCATGAAGTCGGACCTGCTGCGATACCTGGTCCTCTACGTCGAGGGAGGCGTGTACACCGACACCGACACGGTAGCCCTGAAACCCATCGACGACTGGGTGCCCGCGGACATCAGGGACCAGGTCGGGCTGGTCGTGGGCTCCGAGTTCGACCGTCGTGACGGAGGCGCCTGGGCCGAAATCCCGCACTGGCTTCAGTTCTGCCAGTGGACCATCGCGGCCGCGCCCGGCCACCCCGTCTTCCGCAAGATGATCGACCGCGTGCTCCAATCACTCGACTACCTCTCCGGAATCTACCAGCTACCCCTCAGCCAGCTCCATCCCAGCAGCTTCGACGTCATGAACTCGACGGGCCCGGCCGCCTGGACAGATGTCGTCTTCGCCCAACTCCAGGAGTACGATCCCTCGCTGAAGGACACCAGCGACTTGTCCTTCATGGAACAGCCCAAGCTCTATGGGGATGCCCTGGTCCTGACCATCGACGGTTTCGGCATGGGCCAATTGCACTCCCACAGCACGAATGATGGCACCATCCCGGAAGCTGCTTTGGCAAGGCACCTGTTCCGCGGCTCTTGGAGGGATGAATAATGCGACCACCCGCCACACCAATCACTACTATAGAGTACTACACTATGGAGTACTACATGTACCCTGGTTTGTCGGTCCCCTCCATTCCCTTTTGTTTTCTCCACTTAGTCCTATGGGGTCCGTGGGTCTGTCATTCGCGATTGAAGGATATTACACAATCTTACCGTGGAGCCTGTCCATTGGGGTCGGCGTGACCCGCCAGTGCCGCTCAAGACTGAGCTCGGCGCTTATGAGTCGATAATTTGGCGGAAATGCAGAAAATTTGTATTACGGAGTGCAACAGCAGGAGATGCGACGTGGTTGCGAAAGAGCTTCGAGGTTTTCGAAGCCAGGAGTTATGGTACGGCGTTATGGATGTGAACCTAACCGTTGGCAAGAAATTCTGCGGCGCCAGTTTTGCATACGTGTTCTTTGTTCCCCTATCACGATTGGAATTATATAGACGAGTGTACATGCATCTGATGATACAGAACTGTATCATAGTATACCTGTGGTATTACATCACAATGAGAAAAATTCTATTTCACAATATATTGAATCGCTAGCCTTATGGGTATGTACGAGTAGCTTCGTCTAATTCATTCGTCTTCCTTGCCTGGATGCTGTAGTATCACTCTGTACGTGCCTACTTCAGTGTTCTTGTTACATGGGCTTAGGGTCAGAATGCCCCAGCTACTTGTATCAATATACAAGATATCAGCGCTCGCGCGACGTCTCCTCTATGTCGGTACGCTTTAAGATCGGATGTGGCTTGCATCGTACTACTCAGTCTACATCACATGATTCGGTTGAAGCATTCCAGATGATATATAAAGTAGTTGTGTTACATCTTTCCTACATGCCAATTCGTGCAGCTCGTGATGTACGTGTACATGAGCACCACTCGACTCCATCTAAGCCCCCGTCCCCGTCAACATGCTCTTGAACCCGTCGATAGGCGCCCGCAGGTTACCCTTACGCAGCATAGAGTCATTCAGCCTGATCCCGCGACCCCCTACCGCAGCTGTCACGTCATCCAGCCCATGCTCCGCCATCTTCTCGGCCAGCACCATGGCATTCCGTCATGCCGCGATTGACGCCCTCGCCATTCGACAGGGCCAGGTGCGCCGCGCCGCTGGCCGACGTGAGCCCTGGGACCGTCTTCCAGCTGACGCTGTCGGGCGGGAGGTGGTACAGCGGCCGACTGCGGACACCTCCCAGGTGGCGGACCGTGTCCTTCCACTCCGTAGCCCACGGGGCGAAGAAGTCGTCGGACAGGAGGAGCGTGGCGCACGGCCTCGGGCTCGTACGAGTCCGCGACGTCGCGGGCAAAGTTTCTCGTCGGCCAGAACGCCAGAGTACACCCTGTAGGAACCGCTACCTTGGCGCTGGAAGATGAGCGTCGTCTTGCCATCGCCTACCATTCGCCTCGCTTTGCTCCATCCGCCGTCTGCACCGACGACGGGCTTGAGGTCTGGCTTGATTGATCCATCTGCGAACCACAGCACCGGGACACCATTTTGATCAGCTGCCACGCTCTTCAGGTCCTTCGCCCGCTTAATCTCTTCACCGGGAACGGATTCGAGGAGACTCTCGCCTGCACGGTTGGGCGTGTCAGTCATGTCGCGCTCCTAGACGACGTATTCCATGCCTTTACACTCGAGGAGTCGGGCGAGCGTCAGTCTGGTTGGACCAGCACCGATGATGGCAATAGACGGTGACGTTCCCTTACTTGAAGGAAGAATATCAATAGAAATGATAAAGATCCAGGGGTAAGCTTTACTCTAGAACTTGGAGAAGAGCCAAGAGAGGATCAAAAACCCGAACATTTTTGCTAGATTTTTGATCGATTCCCCGTAGCCATCTATACTTGTAAAGGTGGCGTAGGTTAACGCCGTGACGAGTTTAGGGCGATGGCCAGACGGCCAGCAAGACGCTGCGTACAACGTGCGCTCGGATTCTTCCAACGTCCGTGATTATACAAGTAGAGCCATTATCCGCCGAAAGGGCTGGCGAGGATCTTGAAGCAGAGCTGGCGTATGGCTCTTAGAGACTGCTAGTGACGATGCATGTAGTCTGGATACATGTAGTCTGCAACCCCTGCCGTCCCGTCTGGTGAGCACTAGTTCGGACGTGGAGGTCAGAGGGTGTGAATGGCCAGTCGCGGCATCCGTGCCACATATGTGTCGTGGAGGGGATCATAGTGACTCGAAGAAGGCAAGCGACACAAGTAACACCGACCAAGTTTGATCAAAGACTCGAAGCTGGTGTGGAAGGAGGATGAAGCTCTACGAGAGGACTCAACGGAAGGGCCCCATCTTTTGTCCAGATTGATGACTAAGATTTCGGTGAGAGGGATACACCGACACTCACCGTGCGCTGACGGTTGGGACATTTGGGAAGCTTGGAGGGCTCGAACAAAGCTCCCCTTCTCCCCCCTCCCCTCTTCATCAACCATGTGGGTGTCACGATGGCGCTCTCGATACCCTACACGTACATTCAGTGCCCCTGTTCTGAGCGGTCCATCATAGACGGGGGTGGCGAGCGGTCCGGCAACGACAGTCAGGAGGAGGCGGGCGACAGCCACGACGACGACCACACCTTCGACCCGCGCGCCCCACGGTCCAACTACAGCCTGTTCCCGCTCGAGTACCTCCTCTACTGTGAGGACTGCCAGGAGATTCGGTGTCCCCGATGCGTCAACGAGGAGGTTGTCACGTACTACTGCCCCAACTGTCTGTTTGAAGTACCCAGCAGCAACCTTCGCAGTGACGGGAATCGGTACAGTCTATACCCCCACGGTCCCTCCTTTTTTTTCTCTTCTTCATTTTTTCCCCTTCTCTTGAGACCGGCTGGCTAACTATCGTCTTCTCTTGTCTTTCAAAAGCTGCACTCGAAACTGCTACCAATGCCCCGTGTGCGCTAGCCCCGTCCAAGTTGGTGAGGTACAGACCGACCCCGACCCGACAAACCTCCTCGGCGCAGACAATGGGACCTCCAACGCGCCTGTCGGCCCCTTCGCTCTCTTCTGCCAATACTGCACCTGGTCATCGAGCGATATCGGGCTGGAGTTTGACCGGCCGAGCGGGATCGCCTCGCAGCTGAACAAGCTCAGGAACGGCGGCGAACCCCGAATCACGGCGCGCGACGTGCGCGACCGCCGCAAGGACAACCCCGACCACCCTCCCGTACCGGACGAGCTGGTCGACACGGAGCTGCAATTCAGCAGCCTGAAGTCCTTTTACCAGACGCAGCTGGCCGAGGCCAGCGGCGGCCTGGGCAGGCCCGGCGGCAACCTGTCACTCGGCGGTGGCGCGGGCTTCTCGTCGCCCGCGGCCCTATCGCGCATCATGTCGCTGTACACCACGGGACGGGGCAACCCCAACAGGCTGAATAACGGCCCGCCCGACGTGATGCGCGAGGCCCTCACCACTGATGATGGGCTCAAGATGGCCCAGCTGGACGAATCGGCGGCCGTGAAGAAGCTCCTGGGCGAGGGGTGGGACGGGACCGTGTCGAGGGAGCAGCGGCTGGCGCAGGTCGAGCCCTCCACAGTCCGGTTCCAGGACGACCTGCGTCCGTCGCAGTGTGTGCTCCGCACGAAGCGTTCCAAGCGGTGCGCCGTCTGCAGGCACATCATCTCCAAGCCGGAGAACAAGGTGGCCTCTACGCGCTTCAAGATCCGCCTGGTGGCCAAGTCGTACATCCCCACCATGACCATCCGCCCGCTCCAGCCTACGTCCAGCGGCATCCCGGTCGGGTCACGCCCCGACGCGAGCCCCGAGATGGCCCTCAAGCCCCTCCAGCCGTACCAGTACATCCTCACCTTCGTCAACCCGCTCTTCGACAGGATCAGGGTCACGCTCGCCGCGCCCAACAGCACGCCCGGCCGCTTCTCCAGCAAGGTCACGCTCCTGTGCCCGCAGTTCGAGATCAGCGCCAACACAGACATGTGGGACGATGCGCTGCGTGAGGACTCGGCGACCAGCGGCAGCCAGCAGCAGCAGCCTGAGGCCGGCAAGATATACGACCGCGGGAGGAACTGGGTCAGCATCGTGCTCGAGGTCATACCGCCGTCTCTACGACCGGAGGCTCTGCCTTCCAAGACGAGCGCAGGCAAGGAGGTGGACAAGGGGCCCCTGAAGCCGGATGAGGACATCCTCGAGATTCCCATGTTTGTCCACATGGAGTGGGAGGCCGAGGCACAACACGATGTCGGAGCCGTGTCAAGTAGGGACAGGGATGGTAGTGAGAAGAGGGAGCTGGCTTACTGGTGTGCTTTGGGGGTGGGACGCATCAGTCAGGAATAGAGTATACAGCATATACATACACAAATTACAACGGAAAAAGAAAAAAAAAGAGATACCCCAAAGAGCAATGGAAGCACAGGACTGGAGAGTAATAAAAACGGACATGCACGAGACCAGGTCCCACACATCTACAAGTAGGATGGCGGATATAAGGATCAGAATGAGCGGTAGTGATCTGTGCCATATCATGCGGCAGCCTGTATATTGAGAAGCAAGCTAGCCTTCATTTTTTATCATCTCTCAAGACGCCAAGCCAAGCCCTTTTTAGAAAACAACCATGATGCTGAAAACAAAATCACTCCCTAGAAAGCAGAGAAAAGAGCTGCTTCCTTTATTTATTTATCTTTTGTTCATTCCTCAAGTCCCCTTTTTAAAAAATTTTGCGTCCAGTTTTTTTTTCCTAAAAAAAAAAAACCTGCTTAAAAGTCGGTGGACTGAACCTGGGGGAACTCAAAGTTGACGTTGCGGCCGGTGAGACGACGGTAGACCTCAGAGTAGGTGTCGAGGCGGTAGTCAACGCCACCGCGCTCCTTCTCGTCGAGGATGACCTTGAGGAGCTTGCTGCCGTCCTCCTTGGTGCGGACGCGCTTGCCGACGATCTCGACAGGGTAGGTGAGGTCGGACAGGATGGCGTCGTGGACGGCAGTCAGGGTGCGGCTGCGGGGGCGCTTCTGGTTCTGGGTGTTGCGGCTGCGGGCAGAGCGCTTGGGGCGGGGGAGGATGCGGCGCGAGGCCAGCAGGAGGACGTGGCGGTCGGAGAACTTCTTCTCGAGCTCACGAGTGAGGCTGAGGGAGTGAGGTCAGTACGTGCGTTTACGGAATGGGCTTGCTCAGAAGAGGGGGGGTTAACAAGATGAGAGTATATAGAGGGAAACGTACCGCTGCTGGACACGGTGGAAGCCGTTCAGGGAGGGGACGGGGACAAAGATGACAATAGCCTTCTTGCCGTGGCCAACCTCGATCTATTTTCAAGACCAAAAAGTCAGCATGCGAGCTCCAGGACAAGGCCTTGGACCGCTTCCCGTCCTGTTCCTCAAAGTCAATTGTGTACGCCGGCATTGGCGAGAGGCATCGTTTGTTTCCTTTCCTTTCTCCGAAGGGGAGTTTTGCTTTTGTTCTTCACACTAAGACATCTCCGACCTCTTTTCTTTTTTTCTTTTTGAGGGCAAATATTTCATTGCCCCCCTTCTCTGGTGGGGAGGGAGGAGGAGGAGTAGGAAGACGATGCCGCGCGTTTGTTTGCCATTGTATCGTAAAAGTCTCTTTTGGGAACAGGAATCTCAGGGGGGGAGATATGATCCTTTTTCATAAATTCTTGCATGCAGGCCTGTTGTTTGTGTATGTGTATGTTCATGGTATTCTCACCTCGCGGGCAGAGACGATCTGCAGGGGACGCAGAGCAGCCTTGAGGTCGGTGGTGTTGGACTCGAGGTCGAACAGAGCCTGAGCAATGTTCTGCTCAAGCTCCGAGGGGTTCTGCCTCGAAGGGCTGTTGGGGGCGATCTTGTTCAGGGCCTGGGCGCTCATCTTGGCTGACTTGGTGAACAAGGTGTCGTTGATGATGGACTGGGTGGTTGAGGATTTGGCGGCTCGCGATGCACAGCAAAGAAGTTTTGGCGCCAGGCGGGCCAAAATTTCCCACAATTGGGGTTTTCGTGCCCTTGTGGGGCCTTGTTTGTGCGGATTGTGCAGTGGATCACGTGAAGCGAACCTGTTTCTTTTCTTTCTCTTTATCTTGATCTCCGTTATCGACAACGGTAGAACCCCGGTGAATGAAGCAGCCCGAGATAGCTTATGACTAAGATGATCCGGACTGCTAACTGATGGCGACAGGTTAGGCAGTCGGGTACCTTGTCTCATGGGTACCTTACCCGATGCCTCGACAGAAAGGTGTATGAGATCATGCGACGTGCTGTTTACTACTTGCCAGATGGTCTTGAATACCACCAAGATTTCAATTCTACATGTGAATAAAGCATCTTCGCGTAGACAATATAAAGTCCTCTGGCCTATACTGGTACCTTGTAGACTCATAGACCTAATTCACACCGCTGAACGGCGAACGCATAGAAGCCCAGGACGATAGCGAGGGGGAGGCACCCCACGTGATGGACGTCGTGGGTACCTTTGATGCTTCTGTCATTATCCACCGTAGTGACCAGGCTTCAATCCTCCTCCATCCACCGGGGGAACACAAAGGCCTACCGATACTCCCGGGAACTAATAGACAGAAAACACCTGTACAATTCCCGCAGAACATCGACCAAGATGCAGTCGGGAATCTCAGGTCTGGCTCCCCTGTTCCGTGACGAGGGGTAAAATGCATGGTAGCATGATGCTGACGCGGGGTGGCCCAACACAGCTTCGGAGGAGCTCCAAGCTCAATTCACGACTCTCCTCGAGACGCCGTCGACGTTCGGGCTACTCGTCAAGATCGAAAAGGAGTCCCTCGTCCCGTTCGCCACACTGCCCAGCGCTGGGTCCTCGTTCGCCGAGAACCTACCGGCGCTGCAGTCCCACGTCACGACCGAGGCGGCCCTGTACGCCATCCTGCGACGGTACGACGAGGCGCCCAACTTTCTGGCGGTGACGTACGTTCCCGACGCGGCTCCCGTGCGGCAGAAGATGCTGTTTGCTTCGACCCGCCTGACGCTGGTGCGCGAGCTGGGCACCGAGCACTTCCGCGAGACCATCTTTGCGACGACGCCCGAGGAGCTGAGCGAGCGGGGCTTCCAGAAGCACGACGACCACTCCAAGATCGAGGCCCCCCTTACGGAGGAGGAGCGCACGCTGGGAGAGGTCAAGCGCGCCGAGCAGGAGGCCGGGGCCGGCACGGGCACGCGTGAGATCCACCTCAGCAAGAACCTCAGCATGCCCCTGTCGGAGGATGCCCTGGCTGCCATCAAGGCGGTCGGTGACGGAGAACGTTCGGTCACCATGCTGGTGCGCTCAACCCCATATCCACATGTGCACGTACGTGATCGGCAGAGGAGACGTCGTTGCTGACACACAGGAAAAGAGGATCAACGCCGACACGGAAATCGTCGAGCTGGTCCCCGAGTCCCCCACCCCATCCACGATCGACGACCTGGCAAAGGTCATCTCCCCGACGGAGCCCCGCTTCACCTTCTTCCGCTACGTCCACACGCACGATGGCAAGGAGCAGTCCCCCACCCTCTTCTTCTTCACCTGCCCCGAGACGACGACGGGCCACAAAGCTCTCAAGTACCGCATGATGTACCCGCTCATGAAGAGGGCCGTCATCAGCGTGGCTGAGCAGGAGGTCGGGCTGGCCCTGGCCAAGAAGTTCGAGGTCGAGAGTCCCGGCGAGATTACCGAGAAGTCCATCCTGGACGACCTGCATCCCAAGGCCACCGCCAGGGCTGGATTCAGCCGGCCGAAGCGGCCTGGGAGGTAGATTTGCCTCCGGGAGGGCAATATAGCAGCAGATCTATCTACGCCCATCTGTTAACCCATCACCTTTCCGGTCCTTTTCCACGTCAAGCATCCATAGCAGCATGAAATGAGACACATGTTATACATGAATACACATGTGACGTATTTCCCTGCAACGTTATATATATATTTGTGTGTGTGTGTGTTTTGGCATATGGCACGCTTTTGATCGCCATGATGATGCTAGATCCTAGAAACAGACTATTCCCCACATGCGCAACCCCACACGACGTCATCTGCAGCCTCCGTACTCCATAGACAAACAAGACGAGACAGATGAATGGTGATAAAAAAAAAAAGAAATGAAGGGGAATAATACGAGGAAAAGGAAGAGCAAAGAGGAGAAGAGGAAACGACAGGCATTCACATCCCACCATTCTTATTCCTCGTACCTCCCACCGGTAAACTTGAGATTACTACTCTCCAGCTTCTCCTTGAGGTATTCGTAGACGGTGAAGGTGACGGCCTGACCGGGTGCGACGCGCATGATGCGAGGGGTGATTCCTTTGTAAAAGGCGTGGAAACCTTCTTGTCTGTTTTTTTTTTTTTCCGTCAGTTATAAGGATTCAAAAACGGGGGGTTTTTTTAAAAAAAAAATGATTGAGAAGGACCTGGGGATCGATCGGCAGCAAGGCAAAAACTCACTTGAACATGTCGGCAGCGATGGTGGATATCCTAGACCAGGCGCTCGTTCCCGGCAGAGCGGGGTTCCTCTGGAGCCTGGTCTTGATGGTGTCGATGGGGGCGTTGGACAGGGGGCCCATGGCGCCGCTGACGAGGCCGATGAGGGTGGTCTGCCAGGAGGGCAGGTTGACGCCCTCGTACTGGGGCTGCCAGGCCTTGAGCCAGTCCTTGAAGTAGGTGTAGGCGGTGAAGTTGACGGCCTGGTTGGTGCCCTGCCGGAGGGCCGTGAGGCTGACGCCGCGGTAGAGCGCGCCGGCCCCTTCCTCGCGGACGACGGTGTAGAGCGCGTGGGCGGCGTTGCGGTACTTGGGCACGTCGAGCGGGTCGGCCATGGAGTGGTGCTGGGCCTGGAGGCGGATCTTGATGACCTCCATGGGCGTGACGACGGCGACGGCCTCGGTCACGCCCGCCGCCAGGCCGGCCAGGAAGGTCGACCTGCCCGACACCACGCCCGAGGCCTTGTCCGACAGGAGCTGCTTGTAGCTCTCGAACGAGGTGAAGCGGATGGCCATCTTGGGCACGATGCCCGTCAGGACCGCCCCCAGCCCCTTGTACAGGCCCAGAGGGGTCTCCTTGGCGATGATCTGCGCGCCCGTCTTGACGAAGCCGCGCTTCGGGGCGCCCGGTTGCCGCGCGCGGCGCGACAGCTGCATCCGCACCTTGATCGTGTCGAGGGGGTGGCACACTAGAGCTTCCATCATGCCGGCACCTCCACCGGCTTTTCATCCGCCCCTCCCCACTTCCTGTTAGCGATTGGACTTTTTCTTCTTCTTCTTCTTCCATGTCCGAGCCCCGTCGTCTCGACAGAACTGCAGATCTGCGCATACCAATCAGGTTCGTAGCAGCCGTCGTAGGCTTCTTGTTGCCGTCACTCGTGCGAGGCATCGTGTCTCCTGTGCGTGACGTCGATGAGAGGACTGCAATCTAGAGGGGTCTTCCACAAAGAGGGATGGAGGGGGAGGAAAGATGACAGAATGAAGGAGGAGGAGAAAGAGCAAGAGAAGAGTAAGCGAGGAAGAAACAAGAAGAGGAATAGAATCAATGACGGAATGCCCCGGGGGAGGAGGGGAGGGCACCAAGTCAATTTAAGACTTTGAGCATATGATCGTCCCTACTATTTAAGAAGTACTACTACCTCTTCTCCTACCATTGCAATGCATACCTACTGCTACTACTGCTACTACTACTGCAGTAACTGCTACTACTAGGACTTAGCCGTAACTCTCCTCGAGCGGCTCAGCGCAGGATACGTCAAACAGGAACATCCGGGTGGATACGGAGGGTTGCCGCTCGTTCCCGGTCGGCGCCTTTCCTCCAAGAGCATATGATCCATCGGGTTTTGCAGGTGTCCAGACCTCCTCCTCCTGGGCTCGGCTCCGAAGCCCATCCACCTGCGAAACTTGGGGGAAAGTCGTCGCGGCTCCTGCCACCGCCGTCTACCTACGTATGCGTACGCGGTAGGCAGGATAAGTTACCGTGCTAGAGAGCGTTACCTGCCGTGCAGCTTATACTCGTAGTCTCGGCAAGACTCCACTCCCGGCCGGGCGGATGGAGGACGAGTTCCCGTGTCGCCGATGTTCTGCTCTGCAACCCCCCCGTCCTTGCTGTCATCTTTCCTCTTATCCTTGCTTTCCTTCTCCTCTCTCTCTTTCTTCTTCTCTACTCTAGTTGCTATTATTGCCCCTTATTCCGATCCTACCTTGTCATGTCTTTCCTCCCGTTCTGTTGAAGAAAAAGAAGAGAGGAAAAAAAAAAAAAAAGGTCATGTCTCTCAACCCTTCCTCCCCCTCCCCCATGTTACCGACGCCAAGCCGAGCTTGTGATTTTGCGGGGAGTGGGGTCCTGCGCCCCCCCGGTACGGGAATCAGACGGTGTCCCAGACCCAGATTATGCTTGGGTTGTCGAGCATTCCCGCTTACCGTGAGTTGCCGAGGCACACTTCAGCATGGTCGACAATCGTTGCTTGCAGTGTACAGCTTACAGAGTGTACAGCTATCGTTGTCTCTCATTTTCCTGTTTCCATCTCTTCCCTGAGAATGAGTCATCCCCAGACGGTCGGGATATATCCGATGATACCCTCTGTGCTCCTGTGCTCTCTGCGGTCTGGTGCTCATGCATGTACACACATGTGCAATCCCGTCTGTCCAAGCCTCGGCTAAGTTGCCGACGATACATCTCATCACTGCTTGTACTCTGCATCTTGTGCCCGTCGTGTCCTTCACTGCTATGCTTGCTGCTGAAGCAAGTCGTTGGATACCCAGCTACAGATCACTATACTCCTCGTTCAGAAAGGCCGTCTCCCCCTCCCTCCGCATTGCATGACATCCGATGGCTCTGATCCTGCACAGCACAAGAGACGGCTCACCCCCACCACCTCTTGACGAGACGCCCTTGGCAAGACCCTGGCAGACAAGTCCGTAGGTCCGCGACCCACCCCGGCCGAGCGGAACCGGCACGTCGGGATCGTGCAGGGGTTTCCTGTCTGGGGTACTCGAGGGAGGGAGGAGACCGTACTCGTCAGGTTATCTGATCTCTGAATAAACCCAGAGTCATGCATCGGGAGTTCAAAACTTGTCATACATTTACTCCAAAAGATGGTATATATGAGAGTAGAAGAGGGGATATCCGAGTGTAAGAGAGTAGAATATTCTTTTCCACTGCCGACTTTGGAGGTCTTTACAAGGGCAGAAAAAAAAAAGTAAAAAGAGGATGAAGAATATATATATATGTATAAAGCGATCAAGGGATAGAACAGGAATAGATAAAAAAATTTTGATTGAAACAAGAAAAATAAGTGAAAGAAATCATCCAACGCCGATTCGTGGTGCCATATTGTCCTTGCTGGGAATGGGAATGGAAACTCCTTGGTATCATCATCATAAACATCCCTTTGCTATAACACCATGCAGCCAGACCAGTATAACAAAAACAAACAAAAACTGTCGGAAAAAGAGGGGAGGGAAAAGAAGAAGAGAGAGGAAAGGAGAGAAATCGCAGGGACGGCAGATAGATCTAGAGGCAGAAGAGTCGTCCAAAGACGCAAGGAGAAAAAGAAGAAGAAAAGTCGAGAGGAGAAGGGACGGTGCAGCAGCCGAGAGATCAAGAGGGTACGCCCCTCTCCTCGAGGGTGTCCCCATCGAAGCTGTACAGCCGAACCTCTCCGTCTTCGCTGCCGCTGGCCATGCGGCTGTCGCTCAGGCCAACGCAGGTGACGGGGCCGGCGTGACCGGTGAAGCTCCGCTCACACTTGCCCGAACGAGGCTCCCAGATCTTGGTCATGGAGTCGTTGGCTCCGGTGACGACGCGGAGGGTGTCGCCGACGAGGCCCCAGATGCCCTCGACGTGGCCGAACATGCTGCGGATGCACCTGCCCGTGGCCGTGTCCCAGAGGCGCACCGTGTTGTCCAGGCCGCCGCTGAGCATGTATCGGGGCGGGAGGGGCCTCGACCTGTCCGAGACGAAGGTGGGACCGTAGGCCACCCGCTCGTCGGCGGCGCCGCCCTCGGGGGTGGGGGAGGCGCTCTGGCGGCTGTGGACCGACACGCCGTCGTTGTTCCCGTCGACCGCGTCGGGCACGTCGTCGGGCTCGAAGTCGTCGGGCATGGGGAGCACCTGCTGGACCTGGCCGACGTGGCCCCTGTACGTCTTGATGCAGTGCTTGGTGTCGAGGTCCCACAGCTTGATGGTGAGGTCATCCGAGGCCGAGAGGACGGTTCGCGAGGCCGAGTCGATGCGGACGTGGTTGACCCAGTCGGTGTGGCCGCGCAGGCAGAAGGTCTGCTTCGTGTCAAAGTTGAAGATCTTGACCGTCTTGTCGATGGACCCCGAGGCCAGGGTGCTGTCCATGTAGTGGACCGACAGGACGCCGTCGGTGTGGCACTGCAGGGTGCTGAGGCACTCGCCCGTCTGCCAGTTCCAGATCTTGATGGTCTTGTCGAAGCTGCCGCTGATGAGCTTGGACTCGTCAAACTGCAGGGTGCGGACGGTCGACGTGTGACCGCGCAGGGTGCGCATGACCTCGCCGGTCTCGATGTTCCAGATCTTGATGGTGGCGTCGTAGGAACCCGTGGCCAGGATGTTGTGGTCGAACTGCAGGCACGTCACGCCGTTATCGTGGCCCCTGAACGTCCTGATGGAGCAGCGGCCGGCCTTCCAGTTGTAGCCGACCTTGAAGCGGTCACGGTAGACGTCCTTCCAGGGCCTGACCTTGGCGACGACCTCGAGCTGCGAGGCCGACTTGGGGGCGGGATCGAGGCGCGGCCTCTTGGCCGAGGCGGAGCCGCGGCTCTCGTCGTCTCCGCCGTCCAGGCGGCGCTTGCTCGAGCCGGGCGTCGGGGGGGAGCGGGGGGCGCCGTCGGATCGGGCGCCGCAGGCGTCTCGGGCGGGCTCGGACGCGGACGCGGCACGGGGGTGGTGCGTCTTGTGGTGTCGGCTCCAGGCAGCCAGCTTCTTCTTCTCGAGGAGAGGCAGGCCCCAGCCACACTTGGTGCACTTGCGGTCAATGTGCTGCTCGCACATGCGGTGCCAGACGACATCGTCGTCGGCCAGGTCACGCCAGCGACGGCTAACCTGAGCAGCCTTGCAGAGCGAGACGGTGTCGAGGGAGCACAGGATCTTGTAGGAGAGCTCCGGGGGCAGGGCGGTCAGGAAGTCGATCTTCAGCTGCTCGTGGACCTCGCGGGAGACGGTGGAGAGCTGGGGGAAGCAGCACTGGGCGATGATGCCCTGGAGCATAAGCTCGCGATGCTTGGAAGGGGCGGCAGAGAAGAGGGACCAGACGTGGGTGATGGCCTGCTGGTCGGCGTTGGAGAGGCTGTTGAGGTCCTGTTTGGGTGTCAGCGTGTCTGCAGTGTCCTGCGTGCGCGTGCACGTGTGTGGATGTGAGCATGTCCGTGTGCGCTGCGTCGTGTGCGTGGTGTTGGGGAGAGGGGGGAGCTGGGGAAGGGGGGAGAAGGGAAGAGGTAGAAGAGATGCGTGGGGGGGGGGGGCAGAGATCATACCCTCTGAATCATGCCCATCTTGGTCTCGTCGGCGGCACGACGACATTTGGAGTCTGGACGGTGACGGTAGCAGAAGCGAGTGTTGGGATCCTTGGCCTGGACGGCAGCAGAGTCCTTTGTGTCGTCGGCGGCATCGTCGGCCTGCTGCTTGCCGACGGGAGCGTACTGTCCGGGTATGTGCTCCTTGAGGAAAGGGCTGACGTGCTTCCCAACAAGGTCCCCGCGCATCTTGACGAAGCGGGAGGCGTCCTCTTCATCCTCCGGCCGCCTCCTGTCACAGTTCTCCTTGGAGGGCTGCTGCTGCTGCTGCTGCTGCTGCTGAGATTGAGGGGCGGCGGGGACATCGTCGCCGGCAAGTGTGAGGGGGGGCGAGGGAGCCATGGTGGCGTCTATATCGAGGGGCGGTGTCGTCGTCTTGAAGGCGTCGAAGCTTTTCTGGTGGACCGAGTCCATGGCGGGCGATGGTGTCATTATTGTCGGGTATGAATCACATACACTCATACACACATACACACGCACTCTCTCTCTCTCTCTCTCTGAAGAAGGAAAAGAAGAAAGAAAAAAGAAAAAAAGGAGGAGGATTCGAGAGGAGAGATTCTGCAGAAGGAGAGAGAACAGATAATAAGTTATCCTCCCCCCTCAGACCGATCTTCTCTTTCCTTCTTCCCTCCTTTTTGTTTATTCTCTTTCGGATCAGACGAGGCGGTCAGATTTTGTGTGTGTGTGTGGTTAGGTTGGTGATGACTGGGCTGAGGCAAGTAGGTCGATCGATTGCGTGACCTGCACGCGAGATGCAGCAGAGGAGAGGTCGGATAAGATGAAGGAGACTTCGAAGGATATAAAGGGGAGGAAGAGAGGGGAAGTTGTTTGCGTGTGTCTGATATGGCGACAGAAAGGTTAATATGATCCTCTCGAGTCGGGACCGGGTCAAGAAGGCAACTTTGTCTCTTCTCTTTCTTTCCCCTTGTTGAACGGTCGACCCTGACAGCCTTGACGGTCGGAGTCTCGAGGGACAAGGACGAGGCGTGGAGGATGTTTTGATGGATGGCGAATGTCGACGGCCAATTGTGCCATTAGGCCATCAGGCAGGCGGGGCGGCTGTCGGCGGGGCAGGTGCGAACGGCCGGCTTCGGTGCTCGGGGGCCGACACTCTGGACAGGACACGCACAGACACGCACACGCCATAGGGCTATGGATGGGCAGTTTATAGGGCCTCGTGACCTGGATTCGCGTCGATTACAGGGAATATAGGGGGCTGTACCCCCCCTTAAACCCCAGCGGAGCCCGGGGTACAGGCCATTCCATTCCAGGGTCGTCTGACGCAATTCGTCTGTGCATTTACGTGTACACATACTAATGCCTTTTTTTTTTTTCCCTTCTCATGCCCCGGGCCCCTTCTGATCCTCTACCCGTACATGTACCGTCCCACGGACCACGACAAGATGAGAATGCGAATAACAGTACATGTGAGAGCACTCCCAAGACCATCACGGTGACAATCTACAGATGATACGACCGAGATAAGAGAGAGAGAGAGAAAACATCTCTCTCATCTTCATCTCCATACCGCGCGGCATGCCCTCAGCTGCAGAGGAGGTACGGAGCCTATACTCTCCGGGGGAAATCCCTCCCTCCCCCAGACGACTCCCCTGATTTTCGTCGTGGCCAGCTGTGCGCGCACAGCCTGCAATCACGACTTACAGTATGCTCATGGCGTTATCCCACCGCGAACGAGCCATTTGGGACCAGCCCTTTTGAGACGATTGCCCCGCACCGACGAGCCGGATTGCCCTCCCCCCCCCCCTGGACATCCGCCGATACGCTGGAATCTGGTTGAATTGCGGGTTCGATGCAAAATCCCTTCTTTCCCTCTTGGCTGTCACCAGAGCTCGTCATTCCCGCCGTTTCCTACTCGAGAAAGTCATCTACCCTGCATTTCCGCTCTGGTAAGACTGCGAGCACCTCACCAGCTCACCAGCGACCGACGGGCGGCTATCGACCCCGATAGCCTGGAAGAGCCCGGGGGAGGTCCCGCCCGGGGGAATGTCCCGCCCGGGGGGGAAAGGGGGAGGGGGGGGGCGTGGTGATAAATAATACGATGTCTCGGTAATCAATATCAATCATTCCAAGTTCGTCGTGAGTTGACGGGTACGTACATGTACTGAGCACTCTCCCGAATGGCTCCCACCCCTTCTTCTCCTTTTCTTTCTCCTCCTCCTACTCCCTCTCTCTCTCTCTCCTGAATGATGATGAAAGAAAGGGGCCGGTGGTGGTGCCGCAATGGCTCGGACGTATTGCATGACGCTCATCGGTAATTGAAACGCTAATGGCAAACCGGGAGTCGCTCACGCATATGCAGTCACACACACACACTCTCTCTCCCTCTATCCCTCTATCCCTCTATCCCTCTCTCCCTCTCTACTTCCGGTTAAGCCGTCCAAGTCCTCGGTATAGGCCAGATCATGGTGCTATCTGCCTCTTCTCGGTTCCCTATGGCATGATCGCTTGCTTGGTTGATTGCACTATCGTCCCCAAACGTCTATGCACAGCCACAATCAGAGTCCGCCGACTGCACTCATCACTCAGCGTACCGCACTCCCTGCTTTTTCTTTTTCTTTTTCTCTATTTTTTCTTTCTGTCCGGCGCTTCTACAGATAGACTATTAATAAACTACTGGACATGCTGATGATCCGGTTGTTAATCTCCCTCTAGACACTGACACGTATAGCGGATTACGTGACGAGGCCCATGCAACATGCAATCCCCAGAAAAACCCAATGACTGGTGAGATCCACGCGCAGTTTCAACCTTCGGACGACATGTTACACCGACTTGAACCCTTTTCCTTTCAATTCTTTCCTTGCTGAAAGATGTACGATTTTCCACGAATGACATTTCCACGGATGACAGTAACCTCCACCAGGATTCCGGGGATGCAGAGGATCCGTCCCGATGCGGTGTACAGGGTACGCTGATGAAGCTGTGCGTCGTGATGCTCTCTCTATGGTACTGCTCGTATCATGTATATCGCATGTATACATATATGTATGTCTTCGTGACGTGGTGTGATGCATGGCTTGTCGACACGACGGCAATCAGACGTCCCAGGCGGAAGGAGAGTCGAGGCCTCGAACCCTCCCCCCCTTGATAAGACCAGGAGGAATTCCCGTCCAATCTCGGTCTCGTACGGCGATAATGCCCTCATACCATCTGCTCATTGCGAGTAACTGCACCTAGTTGACACCATCAACCCCTTTTAGCAAGTACCCTCTCAGTCTCCAGAGAGCCCAGACAGCGACGAGCTCGGAACTTGCGGAGTATGGCCATACGATGCGCGGAGTAGGGTCAGTACCCGTGTGCCTGCCAGCCTGCCAGCAGAGCTGCGCTCAGCCAGCCTCGGTTCCTCCCCCATCACGCCACGACTTCTCGTCTCTGACCTGGCTCAGTCTGCCCAGCGATGCCTGCCCTGGTTCGATCCGTCCTGCTGCTCATGCTTCCGCTATCCTCGGGCTGAGACTGGTGGGAGTGGAGAGATGTGAGACAGATTTGCATCTTCCGGTTCTAGATGACGCCTGTCAACTCAGAGATGCACAGCACCGTTCGAACTCAAAAAGGCCGGGAGCTAATTACGAGAGAGAGGGAGAGAGAGAGGTAGAAAGTGAGGGAGAGGGATGTGAGACACACACACACAAGTCCCGGCGGGTCAACCATACATACGCATAATATCTGCACACTGATGCTCCCTGGTACAGCGGTCAACTGAACGATCACCCACAGATGTGCGATACCGTAGAGATCAGAGTATACGGATAAGTGGATAGGAGGCGACACCATGGATCACCTTGCAACTTGGAGGCACAATTCATCCAATCTACGGGTCATCCTAGACATCGGTTTATCCTCTCTCTCTATTTTTTTTAATCCTTTATCTTTATTTTCTTTACAACGCTTCTTCTTGTCGTTCGTTCCCTCACTCATATGAGCGTATGAGTTTTGGAGCGTATCGTGCTTCTGACCATCGGACCAGTACATCCTCACCTCTCATCACGAATCACATCATGCCTGTCTCACCACCTCCATACCGGAGGGAGGCGTATCTCATCGAGAGCCTGCCATCAAGACCATGGTATGCCGACGGCCCAGTCTTCCCTTCTTTCCTGACCAGACATCTGCCGTTCCATCTCCTCTTCATGTGTCTCTTTTTCTTCTTCTTCCTCTTCAACAGCTCTCTTCTTCGTCTTCTTCTTTCGTCCCGTCTGTCTGTGCTGTGTCGGCCGCAAATCTCTCCTGTATCAGCTAGAGGAGAGGAAAGGACGAGACGGTCCAGATCAGGTCCATACGTTGATACATTAAAATCTAAACACTGTCTCTCCTCTCTTCCTCCTAGATCGCCACTCCTGCTCTCTCCCAGCACCCCTCCCCTTGGAGGGACCCGAATTTCCATCAAGGGGGGAAAGAGGAACGCTGTGGTCGTAGTCGGCTCTGCCACCTGGCCATCGGAGGTTGCATGACCTTTAATCCATCTCAATTCGAAGAACCAAATCGTAGGGAGAGCCACCCAAAAAAAGAAAAAAGAAGAAGAGTCTTTCTCTCCCGACCGTCAAACAGCCATTCAGAGGAATCATCAGAGAGGATACACACACGATGAACCTCTTGCAGAGCCCCCCCGCTCACGACCCTTCAACCGACAACATCGAAGGCTTCCACCGCACCCGCAACTTCAGTCTACCCCCCGAGTACAACTATGAGGGTGCACCGCCCGTATACCAAGATGCCAACCGCACCGAGTCAGGCGGTCTGACCAAGAAGGGCAAGGCGAAGGCTCGGAAGGTGACGTTTATACGGATCATGGCGTCCGTCGTGGTCGTCAGCACCGTCGCTCTGATCGTCGGTGGAGTTGCTTCCAAGATTGACGCCATGAAGAGTGATGAGAGGGAGTAGGTCTTGCCCCTCCGCCCTACAAGCCAAGCCACAGCATCTCTCTCGTCTTTCTGTTGCCCGTCAAGACGGATGTACAGGGCTGACTGCTTAGGGGATCGAGCAGCAGGAGCGCTCCGAAGCCGGCCGCAACTCCAACACACGACCCCGACATCGTCGTCATGCCATCACATCCCAGCGCCCCGGCTGCTACGTCGGCACTGTCACCCATGCAAGAGTCCGCGCTGATAGTCGACGGATCGAGAGCCGACAACCCTGACAACGAGAGTGACGAGGACGGGCATGGATCGTTGCCGCCCCGATGTGACGACATCTCGTGCGCGACGACGGAGCAGCCCGAGGACTGTACGGCTTGGCAGTTTGCACACTTCATGTCCGAGTTCTGTCTGTCCGACACAGAGCTGTTTTCCGATAATTCAGAATGATGCACTACTTACTACATGGTCTTTCTCTCCTCTGTCTGGGTTCGGCTTGTTCTCGTAACGGAGCAATGATGCTATGGAACAGATTGGGATCAACGGGAAACAGCGCTGACTGGACTTGGGATATATATCAATCAATTTTCCATGTACGAGTACGTCGTCGTGAGGACTAGTACTGCTACTGTCAGTAGTATGCTGGATTAGTACCAGATAAGAGCTCCATTGTGGATCCCCCTCCCCCCCCTCCTCAATCGCTCTTTCGTAGTGGAGCAGACCGAGAAGAGAAAAAAAGAAAAAAATACATCACCAACCACCATCACCAACATCTCCACAAGGGACCTGCCCACCCTTCACCAACCTACAACCTGATACCTGATACGCATCGAAACAGGGTGGGAGGATATGCGATCATGGCCGGTACCCAGGACCCTCCAGCTGACAGCCAGCCGCGCCCCAATGCTGCTGGCGACGCGCCCGATGATGCGTCTGGGTCTGCGGCAGACGAGCAGCGGCAGCAGCAGCAGCAAGAGTACAGGAATCCTCGACACAGCGGTCACAAGCGATCAAGGATGGGCAAGAACCGAGAAAAGGGTCGGGCGGAGTGGGAGTAAGTCTTCTTCCCATCTCTCCCCTTCTTTTTTTTTCATTTTATATATATATATATATATATATATTTTTTTTTCTTTTTTTTTCCCCCTTCCAAATCCCTCTCCCCCTCTTGTACAGCGAGAACATCTTTGCCAACGCTCAGGGACCCTGACAACCAGAATCTAGAAAGGGCCGAGCAGCAGACTACCACGAGCGCAAGCGTCGCAAGGTGAACAAGGACGGCGAGGAGATCCCTCCCAAGCCTAACCCCTTCTTCACCGAGGAGGAGATCGCGGCCGAGGAGAAGCGGCCGAAGCGCAAGGTGGCCGTCATGATCGGCTACTCGGGCACGGGATACCGGGGGATGCAGATCAACGGCGACGAGGCCACCATCGAGCGTGACCTGTTCCGGTCCTTCATCCGTGCCGGCGCCATCTCCAAGGCCAACGCCAACGACCCGCGCAAGTCGAGCCTGGTGCGCTGCGCCCGCACCGACAAGGGCGTGCACGCGGCCGGCAACATCATCAGCCTCAAGCTCATCGTCGACGACCCCGGCGACAGCGGCGCCGTAGACCCGACCCTCGTCGACCGCATCAACGGCCACCTGCCCGACCAGATCCGCGTCTGGGGCATCCAGCGCACGAACAACTCCTTCAGCTGCTACCAGGGCTGCGACTCGCGATGGTACGAGTACCTCATGCCCAGCTACTGCCTGCTGCCGCCCCACCCGAACACGTACCTGGGCAGGATGGTGCCGGAGCTGGCGCGCGAGAACGGCTACGCCGACACCCTGGCCGAGCTGGACGCCGACGTCGCCGACTTCTGGGCCGCGGTCGAGGAGGAGGACATCAAGCCCGTCCTCGACAGCCTGGACCCAGACATCAGGTCCCAGGTCCTCGAGCGGGTGCACGCCGCCGACGAGGAGAGCGAGGAGCAGGAGCAGGAGCAGGAGCAGGAGCAGGAGCAGGAGCAGGGTGACGAGGAAGACGGCAGGGCCGGCAAGACCATGGAGCCCCAGACGGGCATCGCCCTCGAGACCTTCCAGCCGAAGAAGCGCCAGCTGGGACCGCTCGACTTCGCCCTCCGCGACCTCAAGGCCGCGTACGTGGGCGCCAAGCGGCGGTACCGCGTGTCCGGGGGCCGCCTCGCGCGCCTGCAGGCCGTCCTGTCCCGCTACGAGGCCACGCACAACTTCCACAACTACACGGTGCAGAAGTCCTTCGACGACCCCTCGGCCAAGCGCCACATCAAGTCGTTCGTCGTCAACCCCACGCCCATCATCATCGGCGACACCGAGTGGCTGTCCCTCAAGGTCCACGGCCAGAGCTTCATGATGCACCAGATCCGCAAGATGGTCGGGCTGGCCAGCCTGATGGTCCGGTGCGGCACCCCGCTCGAGCGCGTCGACGAGAGCTACGGGCGCCAGAAGATGGCCATCCCCAAGGCCCCCGGCCTGGGCCTCCTGCTCGAGCGGCCCGTGTTTGAGCAGTACAACAAGAGGGCCACCGAGTCCCTCGGCAGAGAGACGATCGACTTTTCCAAGTACGAGGATAAGCTGCTGGCTTTCAAGAATGAGCACATCTATAACCGCATCTTCGAGTCCGAGGAGCGCGAGAATGCGTATGCTGCACACCCGCCACTTTCCTCTCCCTCGTTCCTTCTCTCTCTTCTCTTTTTTTTTTTTTTTTTTTTTGGATTCAACTCGGACGTTGGAAATGCTAACGCAAAAGTGTCGACAGCTTCCATGCCTTCTTCAACCAGATTGACCAGTTCAAGCAGAACCACTTTCTGTGGGTCACGGCCGGCGGTATGAAGTCGGCCGTCATCTCCAATACCAAGGAGCAGCAGAATGTCGATCAACAGCTGGGCGACGAGGACGAGGAGGATCCCGAGGGTGGAGAGGGTTAGTGTGTACGAACACGTATCAGAGGTCATATATAGAGAGAAGGAGTCATCGAGATTGAAGCAAGTATAACACATATAAATCATCTGCATCATCCGTGGTATGGAGAAGGAGAAGAGCCAGGGAGGGGGAGGGGGAGAGAGATGGAGATTCGATGCTATTCTCGGAGAAACGCCATCCCGACTATAAAAGGAGATCCCGAATGCCATCAGCGAGCGTAGACACATCCATCGCGGCGACAGGACCGGCAGACGATCCAGACAAGACCGGCTCATCCCTCTAGGCAGCACCGGTCCCGTCGGCTGTGGAAACTGTAGCCGCCAACTGAGTCTGGTTCTGGTTCTGGTTCTCCCCACCATCAGTCTTTAGAGGTGCCCATGATCCCCCCCACTCCTCGGCGAGGCTCCTCATCTTATCATCCTGAAGACGGCCGAGCATATCGGCAACGCGGCCGACATTCGTCTCGATCCGCTCCTCCCTCCTTGCGCGGGCATCTGCGTCGTCGCCGCCCAGAGGGCCAAAGACCCAGAGTTCCTTCATCTTGCGTGAGAGAGAGAGTAGTTCCTTGACAGAAGAGTACTGCATGTACCTCTCATTTGTTTTTGTTTTTTCCTCATTAGTCTCGGGCTTTTTTCTCTCTCTTTCTTCTTCTTCTTCTTCTTCTACTTCTTCCTTCTCTTTATCCTCAATCTCTCTCTCTCTCTCTCTCTCTCTCTCTCTCTCTCTCTTCTTTTTTTCTTTCCGCCGGGGGAGGGGGAGGGGGGTTGCGTGTAACTTGCGAAGAATGATCAGAGTAGAAGCAGACGTACCAATCCGTCAAATTCCATGCGCAAGGAGATGCCGGCCACGGCTATAGCCTGGGGTTTGGTATTTGCCTTGTCCCCCTCTGCCTGGATGGTAGCTAGCATGAGGATGGTGCGGTAGCGGGTGAGGATGTCGGCTACCAGGCGCTCATGGGTATCTGGAGGTTCAAATGTCAGAGCTGTTGTGTGTGTGTGTGTGTGCATGCGTCATCATTTCAGGGAGAGATGTGTATTGTTTTTTTTCGGGGATCTTTTTTTTTTTTTTTTACCCATGAGATTGCCCTGGGAGGGCTGTGAGCGTTCCATATCTTTCTATGAATCCGTGGAGGTACCGTCCGATGCACGCATAGACGAGGAAAGGTGGGAGTGGACGATGATTGAAGATGGTGTTTAGTTTCGGTGCATCGAGAGAGAGGAGCTTGGGCCTTGGCGAGGAAAATGTGGGGGCGGGGAGGGAGGGAGGAGCTCCCCTTTACTCGTAATTCCGTGTACGTGGGCTGATGACGATTGGAAAGCTGCAGTGACGACAACAGAAATTAATGTATCTAGTTTTTTTCCTTCACAAGCTCTGTCAGACTTCAAACAGACAAGACTCCTCTAGTAGCCGGTTTTATCTACCATATGATGTAAACCCCACGAAAACGCCGTCCCTAGGCTCAATGCAGGTTTGGAAAAAGGGAAGAAAAAGAAAAAAAGAAAAAGAAAAAAAAAGACGAAAGAGGAAAAACAAAACACCTCCCAACAGACGCGAGAGTCTCCCTCCCTTACATCTCTCCATCCCAATGTCTGTCCTCTCCATTCCACCCTAATCTAGGCCACTCCTTCGGTAGCGTAGCAAATGGCGGGAGTGTATATCGGCCCTGGCACTTGTCCTTGTCGCACTTGAGGCCACATATACCGTAGTTTTGGCAGTAGCACTCTCCGGCGTCGGGGCAGTGAACAGCTTCTTTTCCAAAAATGACTTGTATAGCATCGTCAGCAAAATAAGAAGGGGGGGAAAAAAAGGCTCTTCCTCTGCTGCTGCGAGAGGGGGCAGAGGAGGAGATGGGGAGAGAGGAGAAGAGAAGGAGTCATACTGTGCCATGAATACTCCAACACCCTCCCGCTCAGCTCGTCCCCCAACGGAGACGTGGTGAGCCACTGCCTGTAACGCAGGTAATCGGCCTTTGACCTGCGACGAATCACCTCCCTTCGCACGGCGAACTGCGAGCAGCACGCCACGCCGATGGTATCGGGCACGGGCTCCCCAGGGAACAGCTCCTCGTAGGCCTTCTTGTAGACGCGCTTGGCCGTGACGGGCTCGTTGATGGCGGCCGGCGACTCGTCGGCCAGGGGTCTGATCTCGACGGGGCAGCCGAGCACCCACGCGCAGCGGAGGTTGACGTAGCCCTCGTCGGCGAGCCGGTCGAGCCGGAAGCTCTTGAGGAGGGGCAGGGCGTCGTAGTCCGGGTCGTCGTTGTGCCATTGGAAGCGCTCGGCGTGGTGGAAGATGATGTTGGGGGGTAGACGGTCGTAGTGGTCGATGATGTAGCTGCGCAATCTGATCAGTCATTCTGCGACCGCCCTTCGAGAGAGGGAGGTGACAGGAGATGGGAGAAGAGACGGGAGAGGGAGCAAGAGGGAAAAGGAAGAGGGAAGAGAGAAGGAGAAGAAGAAGGCATACGTCAGAAATACCATGGCTTCCCTCCCCTTGTTGACTGGAACGCTCAGAGGCGCGGAGGCATCGTCAACCACGTAAATCTTTTTACTCCAATCCAGGAGGTGGTCATCTAGCCACGTTAGATTCTCCTTTGTTGTGCTGGCCACCACCATGTCGACTAGGTGCGTCGCATCATCCTGGGGCGACGGCGCCGACGCAGGTACCGGCTGCTGCTGCCGCTGCTGCCCTCCCGCATACCCTTGACTACCGTTGCTGATGGTATGGTAGAAGGCGAGGATGATGACGGCGCAGACGGCAAATGCCACCAGGTTGATACGTTGGCGGGAACGCAACATGGCAGCAGGGAGGGAGAGGGAGAGAGGCTCTGTCGACAGCGCTTTCGTGACGTGGTGGCTGTAAATGTCGGGCAGAAAGGAAGGTGGGAGAGGCGCGGCGAAGAAGAGAAGGGGAAGGGAAGGGGGGGGGGGGGGGGGGGGGGGGGGGGGGGAGGGGAGGGGAGGGGAGAAGAGAAGAAATGGGCCTCCTTCTTCTTCTTCTCTTTCTCGTTCGTTTCCTCGCTCACTTTCCCCAGCGACGATCTCTCAAGGGACAAGCTGGAGACCTCCTGGGGGGGGGCGGAGGGGGGCCCGAGACAGACAATGACGACAATGGGGCAACGATAGGTGGCTAGGAAATTTGTGGGAGCGATGATCCTATAGGGTAGGTTGCGAGGAGATTGGGCGTCATTACTGTTCAGCTCCATCAGTCATCAAAACACTTCAGGGGGGCTCAAATCATCCAAGATCTGCTCATCATCTTCCCAAGGGAGGGAATGGCAAGAAAGAAGACATGTCCGGGGAGTGGATGTGCTGAGTCTGGTGATGCATCGTGGCTTGTCCGTGTCCCTCGTGTCAGATGATTGTTGCTGATTCATCCTGTAGGAGTCCAAGGTGAGAGTGATGACGCCTATTGCTTTCTGCCTCGCTTCTGTACTCTCGTACTCGTATTCCCATGGAATGGCTAGATCAAGCCCAGTTTTACGTATGATGATGGGAATGTGATGATATATATAGGTACCAGCAATGATTATGGAGAAGCGGGATAACTTTGATGAAAGGGCAACTGCTCTCATCACATCTATATGTATGTCTGATGAGAGAATGCAGACGCGCATCTACCGTGGGCATGCACAGCTTTTTTTTTTTTTTTAAAAAAAAAAAAAGGAAAAAAAAAAAAAGGTAGGGGCACCGCACCCTGGAAGCAGGAAGCACGACAGATCATAGAGCTCTCCGCCGTCCGTCAAGTCTCCACGCGACCGCGCAAAGCCAAGAGTGTCGAGAGATCGGGAGTTGTGGGATGAACACCTAGCTTCGGCCTGTATGGCGTACGTGCATGGCAGCCCGCCGATTGAAGTCATGTCCGTAGCAAAACTCCCTAGTTGCATTGCCTTACGATCCAGCTGCCATGAACTTCGACCCGTGCTTCTCACGAATCTGTAACTGTCTGATCCCGGTGTAGGGTGGACGCATATATTGACACGTCTTGCTATAAATACATGCACTCGTACGACGAGCACTCTCTCTCTCTCTCTGTACAGATGACAGATGTACATGCGCGGTGAGTAATCCGTCATGTAGACATACATGCATCGGTGTGTATTGTCGTGGAACGCCAGACTGCTTACATGTACGTGTACATTGGTGAAACAGGGGGTAGGGACAATCCGCGACGCGTTTCATCAGCAGTTAGCCCTGGACCTCTCGATCAGCCAGCACATACTTTCTTACGTCGATTCATCAGTCTAATCACCGAGGATCCCGGGAAGGGAGAAGTCAGAAGACGTCAGTCGAAGAGATCAAGAGCGACCTGATACGGATGAAGCGCCCAAGTCAAGCAAGTACATGCATGCCGATCGGGCGCGTACGAGTGCAGCATATGGACCTGTCTGTGCCGGTAGCACATGCACCCGGAAAGCCGTCAGCACCTGGATGGAGCTCTTCCTGCCTCTCTTCCGTCACCGATCGGACTCGTTTCTCCTCGACAAGTCCGGATCGACTCTGCAGACTACCTCGTTCTTCTCCTCTCATCCGTCGCGGAGCAGAGCTGGAAACTACTCGTAAGCTTGTGGGCAGTCAATCCTACTAAGGATCTCAACCCCTTACATCCAAAGTGTTTTGGCAAGACTAAGCTCAGAGTCTTGGCCACGCCACGTCTGCGGCTACCTACCCCCTTAACCAGCAAATCCGGCGGCGACTTTGTTGATTCGTCGGGGAGCGAATGCGGGAGCAGCCGAGTCTAGACCATACCTGTACACCTGTCCGTACCAGGGATCCTCCAAGGGCCGACGCACACACATCATAGCACGTACAGACTCCGTCCGCAAAGCTCTCATACGCAGGCCGTGACATTGCAATGATGGCCGCCGTGAATAGGGAGCACCGTACATGTACGGTAGGCCTGTAGGTACAAGAGCGATGCAGGCAGTGTTGAAAGCTCGACGGAGGCGGTCTGGAGAGATACATGCACGGGAATTAATACACCAGGTGATATTAATACTATGCCAAGCACCTCCGGGCATCAGGAGACTGACCTGAGTTGCATCAATCAACGTGGCAAGCACTGGCCGTTATATACATGTACTCCATACATACGAGAGAACCCATGGTTGATAATTAACACCATTCATATCACAATACGAACATGTACCAACGCTCTCTCTGTCCGTATTGCTCCGTAATACCGTAATACTTGCAATACGGAGTACCATCTAGTCTAATCCGTATTACGGTCCGTACCTGCAGACAACAGTCATGTTGCAGAGCGGCAGAGTCAAGGGAGGCCGCCCGCAGAGTGGAGCAACACGCATCGTGCCCCTGGTTAAGTTATGAATACCCACTTCGCTGGATGTACTCGGTGGAAGACGACGTTGAATGTCAACGACGATAGCTCGAACCTAAGCTGATCTGCACCGGTACGGGCAATACATAGCAGAACTGTCCACCCTCCGGCGACCGGATATGGCAACGACAGAACAGGAGAGACGGCGGAAAGAAGACCGTGGCAGGTCCCTTGAAAGAAGAAGAAGAAGAAGAAGAAGAAGAAGAAGAGAATGGAGGAAAAGAGAGTGATGAATTTCTTCTCATCTCCACCCGATCAGAGGTGACGGGTAACGTCTCCTGTTCTAGACGAGTCTATTCGTCAACTCTCAGCACATCCTGAAACGGTGGTCCCCTTGTACAGCATGCTTTTATTGTGGATTCCTTCCGTCTCTTCTGCCATGCTTTCCACTCTATTCGCACGAGTCTCGACAGTGCTACAGCTTAAGGTCCCATGCATATCGCAACCTACGGCGGCGGTACGCCTCCGCAGGCCACGAGTAGAGTTCCGTCACCACCGGGCATGTCCGTCTCGTGTGCACGTATTGGTGCTAGCCGGTACCTGCTTCCCTCCGAACTCCGTATCACTGCATACGGAGTAACGGTACGAGAATAGAAGGAAGAGGAGGAAGAAGGAAAGACGAGATCGAAGTCTTGGGTTGTGGGGACCAGCATTACACGTCCCCATAGAATGGTCGGCAAGGACTCAAGGAGACCTTCTTCCTCCCCCCCCCCCCCCTGCCCCCCTGCCGTCCAGGATTTGTATATTTGATCTTATGCAGACGACGTGCTGCATCTCTGACTCTTCTTCGTCACTTCTCTCCCTTTAAACCCCCCTCTTTTCATTCTCTTTTCCATTTCCTCCATCCGATCTCATACCTGTACTTGCCTTCCTTAGACGCACCTTCTGTGCGCCCACCTTCTTTTTTTATTACCTCTCCCATATACATATCTTCATTCTTTATACCTGATCGCATAATTATCCCCCTCTCTTTGGTAAAGCCGCTGGCAGCTTTCACGAGAGAGATATCACAGCAAGACGATAGACAAAAATCAGATCAGACATCATGGGGGAGGGCTCAGCATCATCCGACAGCACCACCATCGGTCGACAAAAAACATTTGTCGAGGAGAAGAATCAGGCTCATGCCCTCAAGACGACCTTGTCGGCCGACAGGGCCGGCTTCAACCCGCACGATGAACCCCCGAACTCCCCGCGACTGTCCGTGCCGCACGACATGTTCCAGAGGCGGACATCGCTCGACCTGGACGACTACTTTGTCGGACCCCGCGACATGTCCCGACACTCCAAGTGGCCCATGTTCCTCCGCATGCACGGTAGCATCATGCCCAAGATGATCGTCCCGCTGGTCCTCGTCGGCGCCTGGGCATCGCTCATCACCGTCGTCTCCATGAAGGTCCACCACCTGGGCGTCGACTCGGTGCTGCTGACCATCACCGGCTTCACCATCAGCCTGGGACTCTCGTTCCGCAGCTCGACCGCCTACGAGCGCTACGCCGAGGGACGCCGCTACTGGGCCCTGCTGAGCACGTCGTCGCAGGCCCTGGGCCGCGTCTTCTGGATCCACGCCACCGACGTCCCCGGCCAGGACACCCGTGAGCTCATGCTCCGCAAGATCACGGCCATGAACCTCATCGTCGCCTACGCCCACTCCATCAAGCACGCCCTCCGCTTCGAGCCCTACTCAGGCTACGCCGATATGAGCCACCTGGTCAGCCACCTCAACTTCATCGCCGACGAAGCCACGAAGGCCCATCCCGAAAAGGTCGCCCCGCCCCCCCGCAAGAACTTCTTCAAGGAGACGGGAGAGTATCTGGGCGTGACGTTTGCCACCAGCAACCCCCGCAAGGCCATCAAGAAGACGGACCTGCCGCTCGGCAACGTGCCCCTCGAGATCCTCAACTACATCGCCGTCACGGTCGACGAGATGATCCGCAACGACCAGCTCGCCATCCCCATGCTCCAGACCCTCGCCTACAACAACCTCAGCTTCCTCAACGACGTCCTCACCGGCTGCCAGCGCGTCCTCAACACGCCCCTGCCGCTCGCCTACTCCATCGCCATCACCCAGATCACCTGGGTCTACGTCATGCTCCTCCCCTTCCAGCTGATCCCCCTCCTCGACTGGATCGCCATCCCGGCCTCGGTCGTGGCCGCCTACATCATCCTCGGTCTGCTCCTGATCGGCGAGGAGATCGAGAACCCGTTTGGCCACGACGTCAACGACCTTCCCCTCGACAAGTACTGCGAGGAGATTGCCCAGGACATGGACACGATCGCCAGCCACGACAAGCGCGACCCCCTCGCCTTCATGGACCACGAGAAGAACAAGCCCCTCTACCCGGCCAGCACCGCCTCCCTCAGCGTCTGGATGCACCGTGACGAGGAGAAGCTCCGGCAGGCCATCAAGAGCAAGCACGCCAAGGTCTTTGAGCTGCACAAGACCGAGATGGCCAAGAACGGCGAAGACATGGTGTAGCTGAACTGGTCGAGAGCTCTTTCCTTTTTATCATCTTACACATCTGATTCTCTAAAGACGTTTTTTATTACATATTCTGTCACTATTCGGTTCGGCTCCTATTCTTCTGTCTCTTTTCTTCTCTTTCTTCTCACTCATTTTGGTCCTGCTTCTGGAGTTTTTTGGAATTACATACATGTACATCACAATACATACAATGCGCACAAAGTGTGTCTGGCGCCTAAAAAATTTGGGAAATCAATAAATAACAGGAAACTTTTCTTCTATCAACTCAGATGGCCTCATTTACCAGACAGACCAGGAAAGAAAGACAAGGAACAAGATCAAGCGAAACTAAGCGCGGTCGTTATCGTGAATCGGCCTCGGGGCCCAAGCCACCCGAGGGACATGCCTCAGGCAGCTTCCCGCTCATTTCCGGTCGGGCGGTGCGGCCTCTTGCCTTCGGGGAGGTGCCTGACGCACGCGAAATATGCCAGACTCAGCGGGATGAGGGTGAGCCACTCGAGGTGGCCCCGGAAGATTTGGTGCTTGACACCCACGGCGAAGACGGCGGACGCCATACCGGGGATGACGGAGCGGACACCGCTCGACACGGTCAGGGCAATGGCATTCAGCGTGCCCAGGACGTGGTGATCCGGCGCGACGTCGTTGAGGGCTAGCTGGGCACCGGTGAAGCACATGGCCACGCCGGGACCGATGACGTTTGTGATGCCGCCCAGGATCCAGAAGAGGACCATGGCAGGCTGGCTCCCGTTGCGGAGCAGGGTGCTCAGCACGACGAAGGAAGCAAAGAAGAAGGGGTAGCCGATGGCGCAGCCGCGCATGATGCCCTTGGTGCCGACACGGTGCTGGAGGAAGGGGAAGACCAGGATGAGCCAGATGGCCTGGGAGGCACCCTGGATGGCCATGACGATGGAGATGCTCGAGGGCCCGAACCCGAGACCTCCGAGAGCGACCGGGGTGTACAGGGCGACAGGGATGACGGCAGTGTACGAGAAGGCCAGCACCATGGCGTGGTTGTACACCCAGAGGACGATGGCGACGCCGGGGGACTTTATGATCTCCCAGATGGAGAGGTTGGACTTGGCCTTGGACCGAGACTTCTTGGACGACTTCTTGTCGTCGTCGAGCGTCTCCTCGAGGAACAGGGCGCTGGTGACGAAGGCGGTGGAGGCGAGGGCGGCGACGGCAAATCCCGACAGGGCGTAGGGATACTTCCGGAAGAACCGGCTCTCGCCAAAGACGCCGGGGTACTGCCTTACCGGGTCGGCCAGGGCGCCGCCGATGAGGGGGCCGACAAAGATGCCAATGTTGGAACCGAAGGCGAACCAGCTGAACGCCTGAGCCTGGGTCTGCGGGGTGCTCAGCTCGCTCAGCATGGTACGGATGATGAGGCCGGAGCCGGAGAAGATGCCGGCCAGGCAGCGGAAGGCGATCATCTGCCAGGGCGAGGTGGACATGCCGAACAGGAGAGGGCTGACGACCAGGCCGACGAAGCTGTAGAGCAGGACGGGCTTGCGGCCGATCCGATCGGACAGGCGCCCCCACCCGACGAGGACGAGCATCTGCGAGATGGAGAAGAGCGACTCGATCAGGCCGCTGTAGAAGCCCACGTCCGTGTCGGGGACGTCGCCCACGCGGTGGACCATCTCGGCGATGTAGGGGAAGATGGAGAAGAAGGCGACGGGGTCCATCATGCGAGCGTAGCAGAGGAGGAAGATCTGGAGCCGAGGGAGGGGCCTGTCAACATCCTCGTCCTCCTTTCCCTCGTCATCGTCGCGGCTGCTGCTGGCCGAGCTGTCCGGGGCGGAGACGACGACGGGCGACTCGGTGCCGTTCTTGGGGACGGAGCCGCCGCCGAGGAGGAGAGGAGTCTGCTCCGTTGCGGGGAGATGGTCGTGGCTGCTTTCATCGTTTCTGTGTCCGGTACCGGTACCGGGCCGGGATGGTATCGGAGACATGATTGGAGGTGTGTGTTTCTGGATCTCCACGATTGGATTCAACTTTGAAGCTTCTCGTGAGAGGAAGCAGGAGAGGAGAGGAGGAGGGGGGGGAGGGGGGATCTACGTCGTGGTAAGGGACCAAACAGGCGTATATCGATACCAACGAGACCATCAGCTGCTGGCGGGTTACGTCTTATTAAAGGGGAGGGAAAGAAGAGGAGAAGATGCAACGGCGCTTCAGAGTTCATACGCACTCAACTTCTCGAATCAACGGCATACGACGTGCATGAAGGCCTCCTCTATTCGCAATACTGCGCACCTGGGGGGGGGGGGGCTCTGCATACGATGTAGGCCGTGCCACTCCCCGTGGGACCCGTGCTGTGTATGTCGAAGTCTGGTCAATGGCAGCGGCAGCAGTGCCCGCCACCATGTGTGCATTGCGACGATATGCCAGACTCCTGCAGCACGGTGAACCCCCATGGATGCTGGCCGGTGTGATCAGTAACATACATATCTATCAGTAGGTAGCGCTGTATGAATAATCCAACTGCCGCGGTGACAAAACACAAAAGGCGATTCACACTCTGGAGACCGCCAAGCGAGATGCGGCGAGTTCGAGCGAGGATAGTCCGATCCATCATGCGAGGCGAAGCGAAGCGAGTGGGCAGCACGCCATTACGGAGGATGACTTCCAAAGTAGTAAGTCTACTCCGTCATCGTCGAGCAGCCAGAGTACGACGTAGAGGAATAAAGTGGGCGGTTGCCGCGTTGGGCGGAGAAGAGAAGGAAGCGATTTTTTTGTTTTTTGTTTTCTAATATTATATCATATTATACAAATATTTTACATATCATCATGTATTCTTTTTAGGTTATGGACGGGCCGAGCGGACATCCCGAGGGCGATTATGGTCGATCCCGGCGGGGTATGATATATACGGTGGTTATCGGAGCCTCGGAGGAGGGAGGAGGAGTGGGGGAGGAGTTGTAAAAAAAAAGAGAAAAAAAAAAGAAGTAAAAAAGGAAAAAGAAACTACTTGACTAGTTGCAGCGTTGCGCTACTGGATTGACAGTTGTCCGAATTCACCAAGGAGCGGGGGAGTAAGATATTCGGTAGTATGGATCGATAGGAGGGAGACGGACGGTATTACCCGTTGGATCTAGACGATGCTAGCAGCTGGTAATACATGTAGTAGATGTATGATAGCAAGCTGATCCCATCATCACAAGCAACGGACTGTTGCTGATCCCCGGATATAGAAAGGATGAGGAGGAATCGCGTGGGATCTATGATGATAATAATAACGATAAAATCAACACGTTCACATCAGAAACAGACCGGGGGGGAGGGGGAGGAGAGACAGCGCAACGTGGTAGAGAGAAGTGGAAGGGGGGGGGGTTTCAAGGGTAGACGACGCATGTGAAGGGATTGTCGAAACAAAAGAATGGGTCACGGCTGTAACGTCGACGGGGAGTTGTCAGAGGAGAAGGAGAAGGAGAAGAAAGATGGTCGAGGGAAAGACTGTGGAAAGGTAGGAAAAAACCCTTGTATCGGGCACCAACACACACACACACACACACGCAAAGACACAGACACACACATCCACAAACAAACACCTTATCTGACTCGGGGAACAGGGAAAGAGGGGCCGTGATGCTGTTCCCATATGGACGAAAGCGTCCATCACACACACAGGAGAGGAATGCCACATGCAAGCTGCCACAGGTATCCTGCATAGACGTATCTCGTCTCTTGCCTGTCCTCCTCCTCCTCTTCTTCTTCTCGATTCAAAAACATGTGAGCAGCGACTACCGTGTAAGTCGAGGTTGCGGAGTTGAGAGAGCCATGAATATCCAGCATCATGACGGGGTTACCGGTTTATAACTTACTAGGTAATATTATTCATCATTCATCAGTCTCCATAGTCCAGCAACTAATACCAAGTAAGAGTAGCGTGGTCAATACGTCGTATGCTCAGCTATAGTGGTCTCTCTCATTTCTTTCATCTATTTTCTCTCACGTCTATCCTTTCTGACATATTGTTTTTTATTATTATTAATTCTCTCTCACCTGCGGGAGAGGAGGCTAACTGCTAACAGGTACATGATTAGTCTGGAGCACTGGTACGAGTTCTCGTATGGGAACAGCAGCTGGATCTTCGCGGCTCTTCTTCGCTAGGTGAACCTATCGCGACCACATGCTGTTGCATGCTATCCACTCCATACCCAGTCGCCGCCACCTGGTCTGCTTCCTCTCGCTAGGGCTTTCTCTCTCTGGGGAGGTCTGGGACGAGTTGCAGATGGTCTTCCGGTCCGGTCCGGGTCCTCCCTAGACTCCCGTATAGTCTCTGATCTGCAGAGTGCCTTGGTCAGAACGAGTCAGCACCCACACCCCGCTCTGTAGACGTAGACCATGTATGCGGATACTGCCGTTCCCTTTCGGTTTGGGGTGAATGGATGGATGGCTTAGAGGGCCCCAGTTGTCTTCATGATGAGGGAATTTCTTCCTTTCCCTTCTTCCTTTCCCTCCAATGTTTTTTCTCCCCTTGTGCTTTTCAATTGAATTTTAATTTTAATTTTCTCTCTCTCTCTCTCTCTTTCCTTCTCCCTTGCTTGCTTGGCTTTCCGAGTCCGTGGTACGCGTGGTACGCTACGTATGTCGTCTTCTTGTCCATGCTGCACGACGTAATAAGGGTAGGTATTATTGCAGGCTGCGATGTTGCATGATGGTCGAGCTGACATGACGCGGCGGTCATTTCTCTTCTTCTTTTATACACTTGCTGTAATCATGATAGCAAACATATCATTGCCATTATCAGTACCATCAGTTTCAGTGTCATTATCCATCATGATTGTTGCCACCATCATCCATGTACATCTTACGTGTTGGTGGCTGACCTGGCTGCACTGCATGGCATGGAACTAATATGTGTGGTATGCAGCCACGACTTGAGAAGGTGTGAAGCCGTTCTATGAGGCGTAAAGCAGGTACAAGGTCAAGAGCTGGATTGAGGCTGTGAAAGGACGGAATGGGAGTGAGCAGACGGAGTAGGAGGAGAACAGCAACACCGCCGTTGATGATCTCGTCTGTGGTTTGATGACACGCAAGCAGATCCGCCCTGTTCCGGTACTGCTACGAGAGTCTACAGAGGGATAAAGCCATTCTTGCTCAAGAGATGCGTAATTATACTCTCTACTCATAAAGACCCCCCCCCCTCCCCCTCACATCGCCGGACGGCATGTGGGGAGGGTGTTCCCGTCGTATGCGTGTCTAGCGACCAGCTGAGACATGGACGGAACATATCATCCAGCCTTCCTAGTGTACACATCATCGACTCTGACGCATGCCTGTGGCTAGAGAGAATTTATGATATCACTTCACAGATCAGGACCGACTTATTCTCTTCAATTGCGAAATAGCCCTCTCTTCTTCTTGTTTCGCTTTGTGAGTTAAATTATGTACAGGTTTAACGAGAACGCCCTCTGCGCGTTCTGCAGAGTATGCAAGAAATGAAAAGACGAATGAGAAGAAAGAAGATAGAACGGAGGTGAAAGCCTGAATATACTTGCATGCGTCTAGGCCGTGCAGCGTTTCGGTCGGAGAGGCGCAGATAGCCTGAAAGAATGCAAATCTCATGCATGAGCCCCTCCCTCTCATGCTGGTCGGACGAAGCTTGAGTAAGCGTGAAAGAAGAAGGGCGAAGAATGGAGCAGAGAAGAGGAAGTGGAAGGAGGAGACTGGCGCGATGATCAGCGTCTCAGGCACGGTATCTACTCCGTGAGCGAGGAATAGATGACCCTAAGCTGCACGAAGAATCTCAGCCTCTCCCTTAGACATTGCTGTCGAAGAAGCCGAGCATGGCATCGTACGACTCGTCGTGCGACTTGCCGTAGTTGATGCCGTGGCCGGCCTTGGAGGGCATGGTGGCGTTGAAGACGGATGCCTTGGGGAACATGACCGCCGAGGCGGCGAGCAGGTTGGGTGCCGCGTCGCCGATGGCAGTGGTGACGGTGCAGTCGCCGCCGCAGAAGGGGACATCGTAGCCTTTTTGTTTCTCGATATGTCAGTTTCTCTGAGACTCTATATGTACAGACCTCGAAGAAGGAAGGAGTTTGGGGGAAGAGAGAAGAGGAGAAAATCAAGAGGAAGAAGAGGAAGAGAGACTCACGTCCAGTGAGGATCATGACAGGTCCGGCAAAGACATTGGTGACGCCGCCGCCGGAACTGACAGTCAGGATCTCCCCAGCGGTATGGGGCTGAGCGCGGTGGTAAGCCAGGTCGAGCAGGTCGGTGTCGAGGTCATCGGGGCTGAAGAAGCTCGTCTGGATGCCGGTCTTGCTGCCGGAGCCGATGTAACCGGCGGGGTAGCTGAGGCCGCTGGCGAGGCTGGCGCTGTCGGCGGTGACGAAGTTTGCGCCCAGGACGAACAGGCCCTGGTAGTTGGGCACCTGGGTGAAGCCGGTGAGGATGACGCCCTGGCTGATGTTGGGGTACTGGTTGACGAGGCTGTACGTCATGAAGGAGCCGAACGAGTGGCCGACGTGGACGACCTTGCTGTAGGCGTGCTGGGCCGCTCCGCCGAGCCGGCCCTGGCGCGCCAGATCCGAGAGCGTGCGCAGGGCCTGGATCTCGAGGAAGATCTGGAGCTCGTTGACCGTGTCGGCGATGTGCGACGACGCACCCACCCCGAGACGGTCCCACGTCAGCGTCGAGTAGCCGTGCTGGTCGACGGCGCGCGCCACGTAGCTGTGGTCGTCGTACGGGTACGGTATGTCCCAGTAGCTGCGATCGAAGCCGATGCCGTGCGTCATGATCTGGATCGCCCTGCCGGGGCCGCTGTCAGGCTCGCAGTACGTCGTCGCGAGCTTGTACCTGCCCTGGACATTTTGCCACTGGAGTTCTGCCTGTCAGTCACGTCATCCTATACCCGGCTCCCTATAGGCACGGCAGGCCTTATGGGGGGTTGTTGTTGTGTGCTGTAGGTAAAGTGTATGTGAACTTACTCCCTTGAGAAGCTCCTCGGTGTAGTTGTTGCCCGACCTCGACAGCCCGAGGTAGAAGCTGGTGACCTGCTCATCCGTCTCGAGAGGGTCGAGGTCAAAGACGGCGTTTCTCGATGCGAGAGCGACGTCGACGATGATGTCGCTGCACTTGCGAGCCGTGGCGACGCAGGCCAGGCTGAAGATGACCGTTGATCGAAGAAGCATTTTCCTGTCTCAGTATTGCCAAGTCGGTTGCACAGAAGAGAGGAGAGAGGAGAGAGGAGAGAGAGAGAGAGAGAGAGAGAGAGGAGGTCTGTCAATCAAAACCGAGGGAAAAGCGCAGATATCAGCTTTAAAGGAAAAAAAGACCGTTGGGGGAAGGATTACATATAGGAATGATGAGTGTCGATCGCTCCCTAGGGTGGAGAGGCGGACCAGGGTAAAAGAAAGTTGGACAGCCGGCGATCCAGAAGGAGAGAGAGAGAAAGCCAGAGAGGTCCAGAGAATGAGAAAGAGGACTGGGCGTACAGCAACGTCTGGCTAATACGTCTCGTAAATGACCTTCATGCACGTCGTACCTGCGCAGGTTGAGGCTGACGCGATGGAATAGGGGGGGGGGGGGGGTTCACCGCACCAAGCAATATCTACTCGTAATACTCTGTAGCGGCATCTGTTACCTGTCCTCCGTAGACCATCTCGGTGACTTAGACAGGAATGAGGCAAGGCCGCAAGACCGCTCGGTCGCATCTCATTGCGGAGAGAGGCTGAGGTGCCCATATCCTGGTCCTGGGTAAATCTTTCCGGAACGGGGGAACCCAATGATGCTGGTTCCCGTGCGATCCGGCTTCCGGTTCATTGCGGTTTGTCTGCCAAAGGGAATGATCCTGCTCTTCTCTTCTTGATAATCTTAATTGGCCGTCTCTCCACCCGCCAACCTTTTTTTTCCCTTGCTAAATCTTCATCAGCTGTCGTTGTCGGGTTTTGCTTCGTATATGATCACCAGGGGAGGAAGAAGGGGGGAGGGTACTCCCGACGAGCGAAGTCTGTCGGTCCCGGAATATGGACCACTGCTTTCACAGAATGAGAGCAATTTCGGGTCCCGGTTCGGTACGTCCGCCAAGGCTGTAAATGCCGACGAGGGGAGCAGCGATGATGTTAGGACTGGTGTGTAGACTGGAGTACTGCGACTCTACGGGTAAAGTTGGCGGAGGGATTTGATTTGCTTGGCTCTGCTCTGCTCACAAGTGATAAAAGTCGCAAGGGGAGGGAGGGAAGCTTGGCCGTCCAGACACAGACCGCGGACCAGATCCTCACCCCTGTCATCGCTTAGGGATCTATGGAGAAACACACCGAAAGGGTGGGGAGATCGTGCAGTAGTGCTCGACTGGTCTCGGTTATGAGGTGGCAGCCGTGCAGGTATCGTCATCTCTATTATTGTATGCCCTACGATGAATGTATCAAGCAGGCATCTATGGGAGAGGCCAATGGATGTCTGATGGTGATCATGAGGAGGAGGAGGAGGACTTTGGTTCAGTATATGATGGGTACAACTTCTACATTTGTTGCGTCGCCTTCTCGCCCGTGACATATCACAAAGCCGTGACAGCCCAGATATTGAATGAGGAGGGGGCCCTGGAGGACAATGGGCAGGGTTCTCTGCATGTCGCAGGTTAATCACCACTATCCGTTTTTTTTCGACGATATCCACACTACCAGTTCTGTCCGTCCACCCCCCCTTTCTCTTCCCACCTACGTCCCATTTCAAATCACCAATCTGAAGTGGATAGCTATGACCGGCAGATGAAAGAGACACGGGACGAAAAGAAGGAGAAGGAAAGAAAAAAGAAAAGAGAAAAAGAAAAGAGTGTTGCGTATGTCTAACGCTGAGTCGCCAAGCCCTCTCCTCCTCCTCCAGACTTCCCTGCCTGTCAGTCGACAAGGTGTTCCCACACAAGGTCCCGCGCACCAGGCTGGCTGATTAGGGAGTTCCCACTCGGTAATTTACTCGAAAGAGACAGCAACAGGACAAACCTAGGGATACATCACATAATGTGAGGATGCCTACCCTGGCCCCTGACTGTGGGCACTGCTTGCTAAAATGAGTCCGTGTCAGTGGTGACATCTGATGTCGTACTGCATAGTATCCTGGCCATGATCTACAGTCTACGTTACCTGTCCGGTGCTCTGACAAATGAGAGAGGACGGGTCATTTCAACCGCCGTGAGTATTGCTTGTATATTGCCCCGACCAACTTTAGGAGCAGGGGGAGCCCGCAGGGATGACGGTCAATGCCTTTTCTTTCTCTTCTCTTCTCTCCTCTCTCTCTCTCTTGTGACCCTTGCGTCTGCCGTTTACCATTGCACGGACCCCTCCGTAACTCCGGGTCGTGTCGATCAAGACGACAAGCCGGGAGTCGATGGATCGCTCTCTTGTTTTCTGTTTCCACCGTCATGGCCGACGTATTGCATGATACGTCATAGTTCATTTACAGCTTGTATGAGTGGCAACTCGTATACAGAATGGTGGAAGGGAACAGAAAAGAAGAGGAAAATTCTCATCATCGGATGGGCTTGAGCCAGGGCATTCGCGACACGAGTTTTCCTGTGGCTCGATGCCTCCGGTCGACAAATCATATATCTCTCGTCCCGATGCGTACATTAGCATGCATGTTCGTGGGCTGGTTTTGACGGCTGGACCGGTTGGTTGATCTGCTCGGGCCCTTCGGTAGCAAAAACCACACATTGTGCATTGCCAGTATCATGCCTCGGTGGCCGGAGTTTCGGATCGGATCGGTCTAGTGGCCCGGGTTCAGCCTGTAGCACATTGAGGCTAGCCATTGATGACTTATAGAGTTTCTTTCTTTCTCTCCCTTTCCCTTCTTTTTTTTCTTTCGCTTTTAGTAGAGAGATGAGTGTATGATGGGATGTATTGCAATGGCTGTTGATGCAAAAGGGGGGGGGGGGTTTCATTGAAATGCAGAATCGACGCCTACTCGTAGTGTTCGTAGTGTTGGTGATGCAAAGCAACAATAACATACCTCGATAGCTTATATATATATACATATATACATCCCACAAAGTTCAGGCGAAAACCAGCAGAGGAGAAGAAAACATCCAAAGCAAATCATTCGAGATGCGAATACAGGAAGCACCAACCCTCTCCCATCACAGCTTATTAATCATCCTCAACTTGACCCTGCAGCTGAGCCACCAGTCTGATACTGGCAAGTGCATCCATATTTCCCGCCTGTAGCATGCTCTTATGATGCGTAGCCGTATCGCCGGCGGCGAAACGCCCGGGCACGCTCGTCTCGTCAAACGGCGCCGACATCCCCATGTCTCCCATGGGCGTGAGCTTGAAACCGAAGCGCGTCGACCATGTGCAGGATTTCCTGAGGGTGGTTGAGTAGCCTGCCGACCAGGAAGCTTGCCGGTATGGCGTAGCGTTCCTCCAGGCCTCGGCAGAATAGGGGGGGGGGGGGGGGGGGTGTGCGATCTTTTCTTTCTTCTTCTATCTCTAGATGTCAGTTAACCCTCTCAACACCTCTGACAAGAACAAAATTGGACAAGAGGAGGAGGAGGCCAAAAGTGAAACATGCATTCCGCGACCGAAGATACTCTCCGTAACCGAGAATCTCGCTGAGAAGAACATATCCCTCATGACGTTGCCCAATCCCAACTTGGCACTACAGCATACTGTCCCCGTCCCCGTTGGACCCATCGACGTCCTCAAGAGGTGCCGTCGTCCAGCGTGCGCAGGTCGCTGATCTTGGCTGTCCGGAAGGCAACGGTGGCATACCGGTCCACGTGAACCGCCGCGGATCTTGGCCCGGAAATCCGCCGGGTCGACATGGACGGGGACGGGGAGCTGTACGTGTGGTAGGATCTTTGGTCGCCTGTATTCGCCCGAGCCGAGAACGAGAGCCGTGTTAGTCCGGCACGACGGGGGCCGAGGCCATGGATAGGCCGGCTGGGCCTCCCGCTGATGATGAGGGCGTGTATAGGGTTGGCACTCCGAAGAAGGGTCATCTGCTCCTTGGCCTCGTGCTTCTTGTCGGGTGCTGGATTGTTCCTCTCAAATGCTTGGAGTGGAGTATGAGGACGAGTTGTAGATGAGCTTGAAACCACCCTCCAAAACCCCCCCCCCCCGTCTTTTACTCCGTATACCTGACCGAAATGCCAAATGTCTCCGGGGAATGTGGGGCCGTACGAAGGGAAACGTCTCCGATCACAGCCCGACGGGCATCATCCGTACTAAAACCGAATGAGCGGGTTGAACGCTGTACCGTTTGTAAGTCCCGAGTCACAAGGCTATTTTCACTTATCAGACGAGCGTCATGTGCGCGTGTATATTGCTTTATAAACGAACCCCAGTGTGTATGTGCGTGCATATAATACGGAACGTGGAAATTGAAGAAGAAACTTGAAGCCTTCTAGGATATCGGCGTTTACAGACAGGAAAAAAGACAAAACTAAACCCAGGCCCAGAAATGTATACAGCTGAATGGAAAAGAGGAAAGTAGGTAAACGTAAGAACACAGATAGAGAGAACAGCAGGACAGGAAGAAAGAATTGCAGAGCCAAATCGACGCCTTGCGCCATGCAGGATTCCTCTTCTAGTCCGTGTCTTGGAGCACCGCATTGCAGTACTACACACAGACGTACATCAAATTCGCGCCGAGAAAAGAGGAAGCCAAGACTTCCACTGCTGGATATAGGGAGTGAGGACCAGATCGACGGTCGAGTCGTCCCCCTCTCCCCTAGCCGCAGTGGCCGAGAGGAAGGAGAGGGATGCCGCCCCCGATATCGACCCTTTTACGAGTCGTCGCCCAACAGGACCCAGGAATCCGACGTGTGGGTGTCGCGCACCTCTGTCTGGGCGAGACCGCGACCGGCCGCACCAGCATCCGTGTCGACATCGGAGAAGCAGTCGTAGTCGGATAGGCAGTCGTCCATGAGGTCGGGAGTCTGGGACGTGTCGACGTCATATGAGGGACGGGCCGTGGCGAGCTCGTAGATGACGCGCAGGGGAGGCGATGTCTGGCCGCTTCGACCGCCGGTGCCGGTCCCGCTGCTACTTGACGTGCGCTGCTGGTGGTCGGTGCTGTCGCCAGACGGGAGAGGAGAAGGAGAGGGCGAGGAGGAGCGGATATACCGGGCCAGATCATCGTCGTTGCCGAGGTCGGCAAAGGACAGGTTCAGCGGCAACGGACCGCTGTACCCGCGCGCCTTGGCGGTAGACCTGTGGCGACGACGGGCCTGACGGATGGGATAGATGGGTTCATCGTGGCGGATGTCGTCGAGGCGCAGGTCGGCGGCGTGGGAGGCGTCGCCAGACCTGTCGGCGTCGTCGTACAGGAGACCCATATTGTACAGGTGGGCGATCTGGGCGTCGTCGTCGTCGCACGAGGCGACGGCATCGGGGACGACGAGGCGGCGTCCGACGTGCACCTTCGGCTTGGACGTCTTGGCGTCGTAGAAGGCGTCTTCGCGCTCGAGACTGGGCCAGCGCTGGATGGACGGGGCGCGGTCAGTGGGCAGCGGTGCGTCCGACCGGGCCAGGATGAGACCGTCATGCTGATCGTCGGCGCCGTACAGGCGCGAGTGGCCGCTCTTGTGGCACCGGACTATAGACGGGTTGCGCCGGGCACTACGGCTGACGGTGGTGGTGTTCTGCCTGCCTGTCTGGCGACGGAGGATGTGGGCCGCCGTTATCTCGTGAGATGGAACGCCTAGGTTCCTGGGACCCATATTGCTGCACCTGATGGTTCGCCCCGATAGATGGATGGGATCTCTGCTGACGTCCATGTTTGAGGTTGATAATATTGTATTATGTATTATATATATATATATAGAGAGAGAGAGGGAGAGAGATATATATAGAGAGGGAGGGAGGGAGGGAGGGAGATGGAGAGAGAAGGGAGGGGAGGGGAGACAGATAGTATTTCTGATAAGCACCTGGCAGGGTGTATAGGAGTCGGACATATCAAGGGGAGGGGAGGAGAAGAATGGCATAATGAACAGAGGGAGGGGGACTTATATGGGCAGCAAAGCACGGGAGCAACAGATAAAGATTCGCCATAGCAGCCGGATCCGGGTCAAAGGCTTTGATTTTCAAGTTCCATCTCATCTGGCGCCATTCCGTGGCGGTTGTTGATAAGCCGAGGAGGAGGCGGGGGGGCGGCAGTAGGACCCAAGTGTGACGCATTACGGATGATTGGCCAAGGACGAGTCATCAGGCTCGTGAAGGAAGGAAGGGGGGGGGGGAGGAGCGACCACCCACATATTATTATCAACGCCAGGATCCCCTCCGCCTCCCTGTGGCTGGCTCGGGAGAAGAGGGAGGGGGGGGGGGAAGTCTTTGCACCTGACTGTGAGTCACGCACCCATTTACCACTACTCTATCAATACCGTGAAGTCGTCGATAGAAATAACACGGCGCATCTTTCACAAGTGGGAACTTTGCTCGTACCTCTGGAAAGTTTGAGTCCCACCTGATGAAATGCCGAGTGTTGCACCTTTGCTTGGCTATCTCTCTATCTTGGCCACTTGGTACGGGGTACGGAGTAATAGTGGTGGCGTAGTTCTGGGTGGCTTGGGGACGTCCACAACCATGGATGTTCCCCCGCACCGTCTCAGCGCCTTGCGTAGCATCGTAGGTACCTTGGACGCCTAAATTCTGGGCCAGGCACCTAGCAATCTGTACATCACAATACAGGCAGGCCCCCAGCGTCACGTCACTGGATGGAGGCTACGGGCTTCCTCGTTACAGGCTGTTACAGGATGTTACAGGCTGCCGCCGCAGCATGTGCGATTGCCAATGAGCAGTCTACAGGTACAGATACATGCTTCCGTACCCCGTTAGTTCGTAGACGTACGATAGATGGACCTGACAAAACGTCTCGTCGCTTGTATGGCGTCATCCATCCCCCCCCACCCCCCCCCCTCTCAGCTGCCTTCTTCCTTGTTGGTGCCATAGTTGCTTGCGACGTGCACTTGTAATTACACTGCCTACAACTTCTAGATGGACTACAAACTGTATCTGTATGTACAGGCAACAAGGACAGCCGTTTACGGTAGCGACCTCGGCCGGGGCCGTATCTGGGGCGCAAGCTAGTGATGACGTAGTCCGTCCATCCTTACTTCCGAATCCGGTAGCTCCTTCCCATCAGGCGTTGTTATCGCAAACTCCCGGCGGCAGCGCTCACTCCTGTCTCTCAGCTGTATTCCTCTTTGCAGTGCTGTCCTGTCCCGAATAAAACCGATGATACTGTATCAGAGCACTCCGCTGCCATACTCGCAACCGGGTGCTTTGGTTTAGAGCGCGCAGCGTCACATCCATGACTTCCAAGTGCTCGTCCGTGGCCCTTACGGGCGTCGCCCCAGACTCGCCAGATACGTCTTGACGTCGCACATCTCCATCCCCCTCTGATGATTAATCGTCCTCTCCAGATCCCACGCCACGCCGACGCCCCTGGCAAACGTCTCGCGGTACTTGACGATGCCGTCGTCGGGCCTCTGCTGCAGCTGCTCCTCGAGCGCGTCCGCATCCCACACTTCTCTCTCGAACGCGGGGGGGCCAAACTGCGCGTCCACAGCATCGGCCAGCTCCCGGTACGAGACGGTATCCCCAGCCGCGTACACGATCCCATCCGTATCCCTGCTGCCGTTCCCGGTGATGATCACGTCGGCCGTCACCCGTCCGATTCCCTCCGGCGTCGTGGCCGTGATGCGCGCGCCCCAGCTGCCGAGGGCGCGCACCGTCCTGGAGGCCAGGTCGACGATGCCGAACGCCGGCTCGACGAGGAAGCTCATAAACACCCCCGTCGACACGATTGTCCAGCGGGTGGCGTCCTGGCCGCGCAGGAGGGCGCGCACCGCCAGCTGCTCGTCGAAAAGGTCCTGCGAGCTGCCCTGCCCGATGACGTCGTAGTCCACGCCAAACTGCCAGGGGAAGTAGCGCGGCACACGGGCCTGGAGCACCGCACGCGCAATCTTGACCTGCGTACCTGCTGGAAGGTCCATACCCGTGCAGCAGATGACGGTGTCGTACCTGGACAGCATGGGGGCCAGCTCGTCGACGGATGCGGCCGCCAGGTCGGTACCCTCCAGAGTGGCCCCCAGGGACCGGATGCGCTCCACGGAACGCTTCTTGTCTCCTGCGTCGGATTCGATGGTTGACCGGCGTACTGCCACGCTCAGCTTGGAGATCTCATCGCGAAGCGTGTGCTTGGATAGAGCTTCTAGCACGGCCAGGCCTAGCTCGCCGGCTCCGAGGATGAGCACGCTCTGTGTCATGGTGGGGAGAAGGGCGGGTGGCTTGGAGATTATTCGAAGAGCCCGGTATTGCTTGGCGAGTAATACAGTTTCAACCATCAAGGTTAATCATTGTGATGAGCAGCGGCTTGGAAATAAAGCTTAGACGCGATGGAGACCGAGGTACGATGGTCTATATATCAACTCTGATCAGTGCGGTGCTTCATGTTCAATCGTTTCTACGTGGGTGGGCCGGGTAATTTCCGTGTTATTCACGAAGTAATACTGGGTGCTCCTCCATCCCCATACTCCGCCCGAGACTCCGCCCCGGATCGGACGGTGTTTGCACACGTAAAGTCCGAACGCCTTCACAACGCTGCAGGTCAAGGTTGATCGGTCGAAATTCCGTAAACTCCCAAGTATCAGAGTATCACGGGGGGACCCACTGCACGTCATGAAGGAAGAGAGGGGGAGAGCGGACTGGGATTGAATAGAGGGCAAGATACTACTACTCATGGTCTAGCCCAAAGGACGGAGGAACGAGGCACACCCTGCCGACTCTTCTATCAATAGCACGAGACCTGTGCAGTGGTCATCTGGGCCTTTTCTTGACTGGGTAGCCAACTTCCGAGACCAGGGGATTTGCTTAGGAGACGAGCGATACTATCATGTTGCACAGATTACTTGCAGCACAGCCTTGGGCAAAAAAAAAAAAAAACCAGATAAAAAAAAATCTTTCTCTGCCTGTATTCCCTCTCTTTACTGACAAGGTCTGCTCGTAACAAGAAAAGACCGAGATGGAGGAGAGAATTTTAGGAATAGGTATTATGCAGGCGGAAAATTGACCGCGCATGGCTGGCCTTTGTGTGCTTTACTGCTTCGTACTGGCGACGCCCGTAGGATCGTGATAAGTTGAGCCCTATTCAGCCTTATCAGGCTCACAACCGTACTTCTCAACAAAAGATGAGCCATAGGCGAGGAATGATCTCTACAGTCTTCTCAACCATATCTGGTACTACTCCGGTAGTCGAGAATGCATTGTTGCCTGAAATAGGTGGAGAGGAACAGGCATGGCTACAATGTTGGTGGGGAGAGATGAGATGAACGCCTTGATGAGTCATTGTGATGAAGAACCGAGCCCAACCTTTATAGTTGGTGGCAAGTTTAAGATGAAGGAAGAAAGAAAAGATGAAAGCTCTGCAAGACCTGAAGACTACTCTGGACATCTGCATGGTTTCATACGAGGTAGGAGATGAGGGTTGGGACGGAATGAGCCGTGGAAATTCGAGATGTAGTCTGTATTAAGTTAAGGAGGAGAACAATCGGTGGTGAAGACCTTTTTGGCTCTGGAGGGGCAAAAACTCCCGATAAGATAACGACGACCCCGCGCCTTTCCCAAAAAATTACTACACCCAGAGTAGGGGGAAAAAAACATCAGGACGACGATTCAACATCTTGTACATCAAAATTTCGACACGGGAAAAGAAAAAGAAATGTCGACACAAGAGACTGCCTCAGCGGCCAGCATACCGTCGGCAGACACGGCAGGCGGGCACGACGATACGGCACAAGTCCCTAGCGCTGATGCGCCGGCCGAGACGACGACGCAAGATGAGCAGGACGACGACCTCGACGACATCTTTGTCGACGACGACGACGACGACGATTACGACGGCGACTGGGACGCAGACCAGGGCGGCGACCTGACCAAGCCGTACAACCGCCAGCACCAGGCCAGCAGCGATCCGGTCGGTGCCGCAACCGGCCGATCCAAGCCGGCGGCCAACACGCACTCCAGCATCGACGACCAGGTGTCCGCGCTGGCCAAGCACGCGGCCAAGCTCCGGCTAGACACGGTGAAGCAGGGCGGGGAGCGCGACAAGGACAAGTCGGACCGGGCGACGTCGGACCAGGTGCTGGACCAGCGGACGCGCATGATCCTCCTGCAGATGATCAACCGCGGTCTGGTGAGCGAGATCCACGGGGCCATCAGCACTGGCAAGGAGGCCAACGTGTACGGGGCGGTGTCGCACGACGAGTCGACGGGGGAGGAGGTGCACCGGGCCATCAAGGTGTACAAGACGGCCATCCTGGTCTTCAAGGACCGCGAGCGCTACATCACCGGCGAGCACCGGTTCCGCGGCGGCTTCGACAAGGGCAACAGCCGAAAGATGGTCAAGCTGTGGGCCGAGAAGGAGTACCGCAACCTGCGGCGCATCCACAACGCCGGGATCCCGTCGCCCGAGCCTCTGGGCCTGAAGCTGCACGTCCTGGCCATGAGCTTCCTCGGCGACCGCAAGGGGTGGGCGTACCCGCGCCTGCGCGACGCCGCCGCCGTCCAGACCGACCGAGAGTGGCAGGCCCTGTACGGCCAGCTGCTGGGCATCATGCGCCGCATGTACCAGGTGTGCCGTCTCGTCCACGCCGACCTCAGCGAGTACAACATCCTGTACCACCAGGGCCGCCTCTACATCATCGACGTGTCGCAGAGCGTTGAGCCTGACCACCCCCGCTCCCTCGAGTTCCTCCGCATGGACATCAAGAACGTCGGCGACTTCTTCCGTCGCAAGGGCGTCGACACCCTGACCGACCGCGCCATATTCGGCTTCATCACCGCCGCCGCCGCCGACATCCCCGTCGAGGAGCCCGCCATGGGCGAGGCCATCGCCAAGCTGTACGAGAACCGCACCGCCACGGCTGCCGACGACGATGACGACGGCCAGGCCGCCGCGGAGATAGAGGTCGACAACGAGGTCTTCCGCAACCAGTACATCCCCCAGACGCTGGAGCAGGTCTACGACATTGAAAAGGATGTTCAGAGGCTGGGCGAGGGAGAGGGCGCCCAGCTCGTGTACAGCAATCTGCTTGCCGATCAGGTCGTCGCCGGCGGCGCCAAGAAGGATGATGCCGAGGCCGAGGCAGGCGACGACGATGCCGAGACCACTGGCGATTCAGACTCCGACTCCTCCGGGCAGGATCACGGTGCTGCCCTGGAAGGTGACGATGAGGCTCGTTTTGCAAAGGGTAGGCCGCGTGGTCGCAAGTTTGATGACAAGGATGAGAAAAAGGTACGTTGTCCCCCCCCCCCCCCCCCCCCCCCCCCCCCCCCATCATGACCGCATCATCTATTTTCCTTTCCCCCTTTTTCTATTCATCCCCAACCCCATCCCTCCTCTCTTCCTCATTCCACCTGAAAATGTTTTCTCTTCTCTCATTTCACCTTACTGACACCACCCACAGCAACACAAACAAGCCGTCAAAGACGCCAAGCGCGAAAAGCGCAAGGACAAGATCCCTAAGAGCGTCAAGAAGAAACTCGTCAGTTCGACGACACGACGGAAGAAATAGAAAATGACAATCAAAGAAGAAGGGCATCAATAGACGAACTTTTTTTTTTTTTTTTTAACAACTACAATATTCAATCATGCTGCAATGCCTCGTCTATCGATACATCCCAGCGTGGAGTGCGCCAGATACGGAGTACACATGATACGGAATACATGAAATATGGAATACGCAATCGGATGATGAGGACTGATTAGTCGCACGTGGAGCTGTCGGAATGGAAGCCTCTTTCGTTGTGGTTTATCCCAGTGGTGTAACCTCTCGAGATGATCTGTTCTGACACCACGGGCGATCTGACTATTTTTCCCTCATCAAAGGGGGGATTATTGATGATCGAAGAGAGCCCTGACGATTGTCATCATTTCTACTACAAATGAAGACTCCCTTGCCCGCTGCATATGAGTTTTTTTTTTTTTTTTTGGCCTTCCTCATCTCTTGCCCATCATTTTATCAAAGACTGATACTGATACTCTAATGATATTCAAAAGACCGATGAGTAGACACAGCGGTTTGACATGTTGTCATGTTCGCAAACAAGTGATACTTTTCCCATTGGTAAAACCGATACTCGCCACACCCAGAAAACAATCGAGGACAAGCCGACAACCAACACCCAGACCCATCGTGACGCATTAGTCATAAAACAACAGAATATTGAATGGCAATAGACGAGGACAAGAAGAAAAAAATCTTCATCGATCAAAAGTAAAACTGCTGCTGCGGCTGTCCTGGCGGCGGCTGCGCGAGAAAGTCGAAGTTCATAGCGTCAACGCCGGTATTCCATGGATCGAGCGATTCTAAAGGCGACAGTTAGCATCCTTCATTTTGACGAGTCAAGAAAACAACCCCCCCCCCCCCCCCCCCCCAAAAAAAAAAAAAAACAATGGAGGAATGGTGGAAGAGAGAGACCTGGGTTATACTCACTCCCCCATATGGTATCGTATAGATCCATGGGAGCCATGTACTGTGTCGGATCCATCTGGCTGAGGTCGTCGTCGTTGATCATGTCCGGGGGCGGCATGGCGAGTTCCGCAGAAGCGCTGCCATTGGGATCCTGCAGCGACGAGCCATTCTGCATCTCCGCCATGGCTAGCGCCGCATTCTCGCGCGGATCGGCCGCTGTTGCTGCCGAGGGTAGGCCGCGGAGCTGTTGTTGTTGTTGTTGTTGTTGTCCTGCGCCGGCTTGGGCGACCATGGTGGCGGCCATGGTGGTCGACCCGAACGGGATCTTGGGCGTTATGGTGCCGCTGCCGCCGGTGGAAGAGTCGCCTTCGCGCTTGAGATTGGACCCGTTGATGGACCCGTGGTCGTAGATGTTCTTCAGGGCCGTGAGGGCCCTGTGTAGCGGACCGGAGAGCTCAATATCCTTATCTGTCGTGGCCACGTCCGGACCGGGCGAGGCCTCCTTTGCTGCCGTGGCCGATAGGGCAGCGATGAGGTCGCCCTGTAGCTGGCGCACCTCCGGGTCCGTCTTGGTCTCGCAGAGGATGCCGAGGAGAAGCGCCGACGACAGACCGTGGTACGTGAATGCCCACGTGCGCGTTGGGATGACCGACAGCTGATGCATGGCCAGGAACATGCGCACCGTCTCCGATAGGTTGGCCTTGCACCGCTTGGCTAGCGTTCGACGTTGTACCGGGTCGAAGAAGCGGTCTCGGCGAAGAGCGGGCCGGCATGCCACAGATATGACAAACGACGTGTGTAGCTGGATTGCGAAGTACTGCAGCCGCTCTAGCGCAGTCTTGCATTTGTCCTTGTCCTGCATGTGCACGCGGGCCTTGGTGCGGAGGACCTCGACTGCCTCGCAGTGTTCCAGGATCTGCGCGTATGTCGCTGCCGCCATGGTATCTGGGTTCAGGCGCCGGGAGATGATCCCTATCAGATGGTACATTGTCTCGAGGTAGGACAGGCTCTTTTCCGACCCGTCTGACTGAACCGGGATGGAGCAACTGGGGAAGTTGGTCATGGGCGCCCTGCATCAACACTGCCGTTAATGATGTACTGCCGCGAACATTGCATCTCGGCCTTACCTGTCAAATGATAGAGACGTTAATGTGTCGTGCCACACGCAAGTCCACCAGAGCTTTCTCCGTATCATATCCGTCGACTTCATATCCGGCGTCTGCTCTCGCCCCTCGTACGGGTTCGGTCGATGCAGTCCCAGTGACTGGGCTAGACGACATGTCAGGCCGGTGAGGGCCCACGAGGCTTCGGCCTTCATGTCGTTGAGGAGGACAAAGTTGGTCAAGAGAAGGGCTTGGATGGAGTCGAAAGAGGGTCTGGAATAGTTCAGCTTAGTTTGCCTGAGAAGCGGCAGGGGACATATCTTACCGGAGGAGAAAGTTTCCGAGGCGAAGGAAGTGAAAGGATATCTGCATGTATTTTTGGGAGTCTCGTGTGCGGACGTGGTAGGGAGATTCGTGATACTGTGACCCCACCGCGAGGACGCCAAACAGTATAGCCAGCCAAGAGGCTGTGACTTGTCCTGACGACTTCTCTTTAGCCTTGGCGTTGCGCGACCGGTTCTCCAGATACAGCAGTAGCTTCAGCTCGAAGTCGTCTATGTCAATCACGAACCCCCAGAACGGTTGGGGAATCTCCTTGTACGTCCGGAACAGCCTGGTGTGACTGTGTCAGTCTCAGCATCGCACTGTCAAGCGGCGCACACCTACTTCATGACATCCCTATCTGAGGGAAGTTCGGACGCAATGTCTTGCGCCAGAGAGTTGAGGTGATCCCGCGACATGAGAGGGAAAGGAGCCGATGTGTCTAGACCGAGGATGGATCTGACGTCCTGACGTATATCGACGCGATCCATCCTGCTCGTCGGTGATTGATCCCCGAGAAGTGCTGGGATGCTGTTCTGTCCGAGATATCTATCGGCAGCTGCGTCTCCCTCTTCCAAGTTATCTGGATTTGCGTCAGTCTCAAGCAGCGTCCCGAGCGTCCGCCGATGGTGTGCTGTACCGATTGAGCGAGGCCAACTCTCACGCTTGCCCAGCTTATTGTTGGCATCGCGGGTGTCAGAGAAGGACCGCGCCCTCTTCCTGACAGTCCTGTCGACAGTGCTGGAGCTGCTATTGCCGGCGGCATTGGACCCACGATTTGGTTTGTAGGAGCACAGCTGAGCATGCTCGCGTTTGACGCAGTTCTCACAAGGATGCTTATTATCGCATTTGACCTTGCGTTGGCGGCATGGCCAACACGCAGTCCCTGGGGCCATGAGAGTCAATTCAGACAGTACCATATCGATTAAATATCAACGACGGAGGGTGTGAGGGGAAGGGAGGGGATAGGGCAACCGGGGGATCACCGGTCTGTCTTGTCAACTCCGCCGAGGATCTATCAAACTAGGCCTCGGTGGTCTGTCATGCCGAGGAACATGTATGGGGTGATTTCAAGCATAGGAAACTCACCATAGCGGACCTTTCGGTGAGAGTGTATGATACGGTTGGCCTCCTCGGGCGTCAGCTGTTCGAATGACACATGCTCACCAGCCTCCAACGGTTGATCGTCGTCGGCCATGACGCAGAGGGGAGCCCACCACGGGAAGCACCAGTTCCAATATTCTTCTGGTTTCAGAAGGAAAACCAAGCAAAACTTCACCGCTTCCCCAAAGCTCGTGTCGTGTGCACCCGACCTGTGCAAATGTTTGTGTTGGCGGATGCAAGGTGGAACGATGCCGAATGCCGAGGGAAAGGTGGGAGGGGAACGGGAGAATCTCGGCCAGTTGCTGGTGCTCGGCATTCTATCTTTCCGGATAAATGTTACTCCGTGTCGCACTGTCTGCGTGCCGCCGATAACGGCTGTATCACATAGTGCGTGATAATTATAGACACTATGCGCTTTCCCGTCTGTGACCCCGCTTTTTGCCTTCGATTCTACACTCTCGATTTACCTTCAATATAAACAATCGTTCATGCGTGTACACCAGCAGATGACGCTAGTGACGTTTGCTTGACGCAGAAAACAACGTTTCTTCATCCTAGAGTCGATATCTCGTCATCATCGTCCCACAAATACCCGTTATTGCGTGGCCGTTTAGTGTGCTGGACCGCTGAGCCCCAGCCACGGTGCGCCAGTATGATCAGAAGTCAACGGCTGGTCGAGGACGAGTTGAAGGATCGTATTTGGTCCCTGAACGACGAGTATGGCTTACGTATCACGCCTCTAGATGTGATGTTGTCACCAAGCAAGAGGCGAATACAGCGCCGGTCAGAAGAAGAACATGAGAATGACATAATATACTCTCGCCTCCATCGACTTTACTTCCAGAATGATCTGGACCGTTGCTTGAAATGCTTTGAATCAGAAGCTACGCAAATCCGTCGGCATTTCAGCGAAGCGGCAGCCACCCCACTCCCTTCCCGTGGCCCCACACAGCGGGCCGCTCTTCGCAAGTGTCTTCGTGACATTTTGGATCGTGACATTTTGAATGACTCGCCGGTCGTCAAAAATTCCAAGAGAGCCCCCGAGAATGACGGGGATGATGGCCCGGCAACACCCAGGAAGCGACTTCTCAACCAGCCCGAGAGTCATCGCAACCAACCTGGGTTCCTTCTCGACTCGATCCCATTCAGGTCAAGTCAACCCCTGCCATCGCAGGAGGCTGTTAGTGCCCCCCCGCTGGTAGAGGAACAATGTCGCAGCTCGCTTGCCGTGGACTCGTCAAGCAGTTCATCAAGTGATTCAGGGGTCACCGTATACTCGCCAGCTCCGAGCCCGAAATGGGAGAGCCAAGTCGTTTCGTTCAATTCTAGTCATGGTTATGTACCTTTTTCTGCTACCCGGCAAGCCCTCGATGTCTCCTTCGATATGAACAGGAATGGCGCTGTGGAAGGTACTGTTGCCACTACGTCAAGGATGCAGCGTGGGCCCAGCACTGCCTCAAGCTTCATAACGCAGGCACTTTCTCTACCATTGTTGGCAAAGGAGCTTAACGAGCAGCTCCGAAGCATCTGGCGTGAGTATTCAGAGGCATATGTAAACATGCTGTGCGTCTGCGCTTTCTGACTTCGCGTCTACAGCTCCGTCGCCTGCTTGCTTGGATCACGCCCCCCTAGCCATCACTTGGGAGATGACAAGGATTGCTATCCACTGTGGTGTTGATTTGCGAGAATTCGACTTGGAATACGACCCTGGGCCAGCTGGGTCCTGGTGGCATGACCGGGATCAATTCATGTCTATGATTGAGAAGCACCCACTTTTTTGCGGCAAGGAACTTCCGGCTGCAAGCGATATGGATGCGTGGAATGCCGCTATGCATAGCTTCAAGACAGGCGACAAAAGTGTCATCTTGGTTGCAGAGCTTGAACGGCATTCTGTGGGCAAAGCGCAGTCCTTCAAGTTGAAGCCGCGGCCGCTTGGCCTGGAGCGCGGGCACCGTCTGGACAGGCGATTTGGAGCCGATCGATTCTTTGAACTCATCTTACCACCGAGGCAGCTGAATGTCAAGAAAGCCGTCAAGGAAGCAGAACTGGAGGCGCTATCTCAGTGGTTGAGTGGACAGCACCATGACTTTCTCAGCCGCACATGGCTCCCCATATTTGTGAGGGATGACAAGAAAAGGGTCAAAGACCTTGGTACGGTCGCAACCTCCAAGGGAGTCCCAGTACAGCGAGTAACGTTCTTTTCGGTAAACGGCTATCAATTCCGGCCGAGGGGCTTCCCAACGCTGGAAGAAGCAGAGGATCCGAAAAGACGCAGCGAGCTCTCGTACGCTGACTTTCTCCAATGGGCTGTCGCCCTCGGAGACTCAGCTGGGCAGGCGATCCCAAAACTCTTTTCGCGCATCTCACTCAGTACGTTCTCTGGTATCTCTATCATATCATGACCAAGATGTCTTACATATATCTAGGCCTTAGCCGAAACATACCAACCGTCGTTCTCGAAAAGCATCAGATGACGCATTGCTCGAGTGACCTGCTCCCATACCCGGACGGTGGGGAGAAGGTCATGAATGATGGTGTAGGGACTATGTCGAGGGGCCTCGCTGAAAAGATCTGGTACTGCATAAGGCCTGACTCACACCCAGCCGACACCCCAAGCGCTTTCCAAGGAAGAATTGGAAGCGCCAAAGGCTTGTGGATCATAGATCCACTCGATTCTAGCGACGATATCTGGATCAAGACATATCCATCCCAGAGAAAGTTTGCGTGCCCCTTCGACGACGTGCATCATCGAACTTTTGAAGTGATTGGATGGCCCAAAAAGCTCTCGACAGCGTACCTCAACCAGCAGGTCATCCTCATTCTAGAGGCTCGCTCTAAAGACCCCGAGAAGATGCGCAGGGTTGTTGGCAAACACCTGATGACGACAATAACCGAGGAACTAGATCAGCAAATGCGGGCACTGGACGATCCCCTGAATTACATCTTGCTCATGGACAGATACGGTGTAGTCAGGACCGTTGACCGGCAGACCCATGACTGCGTCCAATACATTGGAGGAATGCCGAACTCAAAGTCGGAAGCGGTGATAACCCTTCTCGCGAGCGGGTTCCAGCCTCGGATGAAGTACGTGAGGGAGGCTATATGGGAGATGCACGAGTCCCAGATGACCCTCCTCCAGAACAAGCAAAAGATCCATGTGCCATGCTCTACCTACGCTTACATGGCGGCTGATTTTGCTCACGTCCTGCAACCTGGCGAGATACATCTTTCATTCTCTGAAAAGTTCGCGGCCGGGGATTTTTCCGACACGCTTCTAGAGGGCATGGATGTCCTTGTCGCTCGGCTGCCGGCGCATTTCCCAAGCGACATCCAAAAGGTGCGCGTGGTCTCAAAGCCGGAGCTTCGAAAACTGAAGGACATTGTCATCTTCCCCACTCTCGGGCCCTACCCGCTTGCCGACCTTCTTTCCGGAGGAGACTACGATGGCGATAAAGCCTGGGTATGTTGGGACCAAGATATTGTTTCCAACTTTGAAAATGAGCCTCAGCACCCCCCGGAATATGATTTCGTTGCGGAAGGGTACTTGGAGAAGGTAAGCACCTCTTTCACGGAGTTGTTGGACGACTGTTCGGGAGATGTGGATACCGCATCGGCCATTTTTCGACAGAGAACCATGTCATTGGCAATGAGGCCATCACTTTTGGGCATATGCACCCTATACAAGGAGAAACTCTGCTATCATGATAAGTCCGTCGCTAGCAAAGAAGCTATAGTCATGGGATCTCTTCTCAGCAACTTAGTCGACCAGGCAAAAGCGGGCACAACCTTTACCGATGCAGCCTGGGAAAGATTTCGCAAAGACCGTCTTCAAAAGCATGGAGATTACGACAAGCCCGAGTACAAGAATGCGACGATGGACGACACCAAGAACAACAAGCGCCCTCAGGATATGCATATCCTAGACTATCTGAAGTTTGAAGTTGCCCAGGGCCCCATAATGGAAGCAAACAAAGCCTTTTCCAAAGCTCTCGGACGCGAAGACGATACTGTCCTCGATTGGGATCTCACCAGCGTCTCCAACGAGGTAGAAATGCGTATGGACCGCGGTCTGTGGAAAGAATTAAGCCAGTCTCTGCGCACGGAGCTTCAAGCCCTTTTCGATGAATGGGACTGCACCAAAGCTAGAATGAGGAAGGATCAGGTGGCGGGTCTGCCCTATCAGAGATTCATCAAGGCAACCTGGACCAAGTGGTTGGAGATTGCGCCTGCCCCCCACCTCCGACAGCATGAAGCCATCAGCGGCATGAACGAGAGGTGGAGTCGGAACCCGACTCTGGACAAGCTGCAAGAGGCCAAGGATGGAAAGGATGATGACTGGTCGGCCCAGTTCAGCCAATGGAACCTGTTCAAAGCGTCGTTTACATTCTTCGCCTTCTACAGACGAAACTACACCTTTGCCTGGGAGACGGCTGGGCGTCAACTATGCCACATAAAGTGCAGGATTGCGTCGGAAGTGGGTGACCGCGCAAACACGTCGTCCGTCCTCGTGAGCCCGAGGGTGTGGGCTGCTATGAAGCCGAACAGCAAACACATCCTGGCTCAGATGGCCAAGATGAACGACGCCAGGCAAGACGTCTTTTACGATGATGAGGACGACGGCGACGACGTGGATTGTCTCGATTATTATGAGCAAGAATACGCAGACTCTATCATTGGAGACGACTGAGGGACCACGGTATTGGTGTGATTGCACTTTTCTTCTTCTTCTTTACTTCTCATCTTGGATATTATGGTTCCCAGGATATTGTATATAATAGTATTCTGAGGGCGCACCGGTAAGTAACCAGCCCACAAGCCATAGGCAGATATACGGGATCCCTCCGTATTTCCCACCTACAATTTAGTGTCCGCAACGACAACCTGTTCCGTCTCCATTGTTGTATCGTTACCAGAACTTCCTTGGTACTCTCCGCTTTGGACGACGAGACCGGTCAGACTCGTCCCGTGAGACGTGTTGGCGACCTTTGTGTAAGCCACCCACGCGACGCCGGGGACGGAAAGGAAGAACAGAGCAAAGTTGATGGCACAGGCGCCAACTAGGGGCACATTCTTGAGACCGACGACGAAGCCGAAGGTGGAACCGATAGAACCGACCGCATTTATGAGGGCGGCTAGGTATGCCGCTTCGTTGACGTTGTTTGTCAGACTGCCGACTAGCCAGTACTTGTATGTGGTGACACTTTCGTCATATTAGCATGTACCGAGGTCGGTAGACCCACGAAGAAAAGGAGAAGATCTGGAGAGAGAGAGAGAGAGAGAGAGAGAGAGAAAAGAAGAAAACACTCACATCGGATCTGAAGCACCCCACAGAACAAAGACGAAACAGCCCAGACCAAAACCATCATCCGCCCAGTCCAAGGCAGGCGGCTCTCTGGCATACTTCACCTGGACGGCCTGGCCGATGATCCACGACACGCCGACAGACACGAACATGATGATGAACCCGCCGCGAGCCCTGGTCCTGCGCTGCCAGTCCCGGTAATCGAGGTACTGCCCCAGGAGCCACGACGCGAAGAAGCCCGACAGGTAGAAGAGCATAGAGTTGAGCGCCCTGCTGCGCACGGTGAAGTACGCATAGTTGAACTGCCACTGGTAGCTCAGGAACCACTGCGAGTACAGCATAAGGGGCACGAGGGCCACGACGGTGGGGTTCTTGGCCAGGCGCCACAGGATCCTGACCTCCCCCGCGATGGTCTGGTCGCTCCGAAGGTCGACGGATCTCCCGTCCCTGCGCTGCACCTTGTCGGCGGGCGGGACGGAAAGGGCAAAGGGGAGGCCGGCGCTCATGATGGCGATGAGGACAACGTAGGTTGCCTTCGTGATGGAGCCGCGGTAGTTCTTGTCCGCATTCAGGGCGAGGCTGACGATGCCGCCTATCGAGGCGCCGAGGTTCTGGAACATGAATTTCAGGGCAGCTACACACCGGTCTTTAGAACCCTGGATGGATGTCTATGAGTTGGTGGTGGTGGTGATGGTGGGAAAACGTACTGGCGAAACCCTTGCGGTTCTCCTCCGAATAGCCCATGAATATCGCGCCGCTGGCGACCCACAGGAAACACGCTGCCAGGCCGCACGTCACGGCGCCGAAGAGGAGGAGCCAATCCTGCCCGTAGCTGTCGACTACGTAGAAGCCTGCTGCGTAGGGCGCGTATCCCAGAGTTCCAATCTGGGAAGGATAAGTCAGCCTATGGTCTCGTCTCGGTGCGGTAGCTGTGGCACATACGACAAGAGTCCACCTGGGCGATATCCTGTTGCAGATGACACCCGCAAAGAGCGATCCGACGGCGATGACACCGAACACGATGGCGTTGGCGGCGTTGGAAATGTCCGGGCTAGCTCCGCCCCCGGCCCCCATGCCGTTGAGGGCACCGAAGACGCCGGGGCAGGTGAACGCCGTGGCGGCCACGAGGAAGGCGGAGAGGGTCGTTCCTCGGTACCATTTCACTGGGTATACCTCTCTTCCCGCGGCGGATTCCATGGCGGAGGATGGAAGCTTGAACCCGAGATGTTGGGACGAGAGCTGGTATCCCACGTCTGGGCCGTCCGGATATAAGAGCAAGCCTGTCGTGGTGCGGGGGACGTGGAGTGAACAGTGGACATGGTTGAGGAGACAATCAGGAGATAAAGATACGACGGCCAATATTGATGATTAACTTTGACTTGCTGTCGTCTACTCGTGCTTGCTTGCCAATAAGTCGTCATCTGTTGCCAACGTCGCGGAATGCTCCGTTGATAGCGCCGGATTTACTACGTGCTCATAAATCCCGTGAATGAGGGGAACGGGAGGGCCGTTTGTTCACTTGCCAACATCGAGCTAGCATGACTGTCGACGTTGGACTATACGTCAGATGGCGAGTCTTCGCGAGAGAGGGAGAGAGGGCTTATACGCCGTGTTAGTCTGGACTGTCCTGACCCCGAGGTCGTGATGGATTGACGGCATATGCCAATCAGGACATCTGACACGGCACACCGGGAAAGGGTAGATATCTCAGCTAGCCATCGTGACATTATAGAAGAAGAGATGTCCTTCCCCCCTCCCCTTCGGCAGAACATGCGTGTGATGAGCAGTTGGCGATTCGCAGCCAGATGTGTCTGCACCCTAGTCAATACGGAGCACCGAAGCTCTGGAATCTAGACCGTAGTATGGCCGCCATGATCAGGAAATTGAATAGGGAAGCAGCGAGAGATGAGGCAAGCATAGGCGATAGACACCGATGGCGACACCTCTGAAAGCACCCCCACCATTCGCAGTATCCTTCGCAGTATTATTATCCGATGGTCTTATGCGCAGACGGCAGCGCGGCTTGTGGTGAATCTCATGGGTGCTAAACTAGAACTAGGCTGCTGGTGTGATATTTCATACAGATTGGCAAGGCATGATAAGCTAGGTAGGGCTTGGGGCTTGTCTGCATGCGCATAATGCTGCCGAACGGCGAGAGAGACTATTGGCATGCATGGATATCCATTGACGGGGTTGTCATTGCGGGAATAGGGCCTTCGTTGCCGATTCATATGTCGTTCTTGGTTGGCTGAGTGGTGTTACTTCAAGTATGGCGAAACAATCTCCAAATATTCGTCATTCAAGGAATCAAACCACCAAACTTCCTGATTCCACAACGGCAAAAGTAGAGGCTGAGATGAGGTGTCATTTGGCCTACAAATAGTGTATCGCCACAGTCGGCACTCCTGCGCTCTCGAAACTAACGCTCGCATCGTCATCTGCGTTGCTGTGACTGGGCTCTCTCATAGCTCCGTCGTCATCTCCCCTCCAGCACATGCAATGGCCACACTCAACGTCGCCATCATAGGTGGCGGCCCTGCTGGACTCGGCGCAGCCATAGCGTTGTCACGCATCCCTAACGTGAACTGGAATCTCTATGAAAAGAAGCCCGAGATCAGCGAGATCAGCAATGGCCTGACGCTACAGCCGACGACCTGGAGGATGCTGGAGGCATTCGGAGCCGCCCATCTCCTTCAACCCGACGATTTTTTCCGACCGGAGGGGGGCCACAGAACAGAGCACCGGTAGGCCGGCCATCCTCGATTCAACGCCGACACGTTCGCGACGATAATTGACAATCATTCGTGATGCGCTCAGCAACGGGAGGACAGGCGTTCTCGTCAAGATTGGAGATGTAGGACACAGCGTCCCCCCTCATCAGGATGCGTGCAGGATTCACCGGGCCAAGCTTCAGAATGCTCTGCGGAGTCAGGTGGAGGAGGGACGTATATGGGTTAGCCGCAAACTTGTGTCGGTCCAGAACCTCCCCTCTGGAAAGGTTCATATCGAATTCGAGGACGGGCACAGCGACGACGTGGACCTCTTGGTCGGCGCTGACGGTATCAGATCTGTAAGTATCGATCTCGTCGCCGACGCCTCCATACCTTGCTAGCTGACATCTCGGCTAGGTCGTGCGTCGATTCGCCTTCCCAGATTACACCATCGGATACACGGGGAGCACGGCTTACCGCACCCTCGTGAGTGCATCCGAAGCCTCCAAGATCAACGGGCTGCCGCGACAGCCCATCTTCTGGCACGGCACGGATGGAAAATGGGCTTACACCTGCCCTCTGGGTGGAGACGACTGGGAGATCACCTGCTCCGTCAAGGAGCCCGACGGCGACGCGCGGAGTAGCTGGGGGAAGAAGGGCAATCTGCAGCACTTTGTCAGCCTCTTCTCCGAGATGTGTACGCCGATGCAGAGACTCCTCGGGCTGGCAACCTACGTAGAGCAGTACGACTACTTTGCGGGCTCCCGCATCGACACCGTCGTCAGCCAGGACAGCATAGCTCTCATCGGCGATGCCTCGCACCCCCTTTCAGGAGCGTTCGGGGCCGGTGCCGGCTTTGCGCTCGAGGACGCATATGTCCTGGGACGGGCCGTCAGCTGGGCTGCAGAGGAGGGCCGACCGCTCGGCGAGGCGCTCCGGATCCTCGACGACGTTCGCTCTCCGCATTACAAAGCTTTATATGAAGTACTCGATGAATTCGCAAAGGTTGAGAAGGATCTCCGCTCTCGCTCACCAAGGCTAGACGCTTCAAGTGAGATAGATGAGCGTATTTCTGGAAGATGGAGTGCAAACAGTGGGTGGATGCATCATTACAGAGTACGTCGATCCACGATAGAACCTCTTCTCGATTTCTCGTCCTAATCAGCTCTCCTCTAGGTCGACGAGGTGTTCGACAATTTCTTGAGGAACAAGAAGCGACAGGAATATCGTATATGAACGAGTTGCCCATCTACACCGCCGACACAAGCCCTATGCCTTCCGTCGATGGATTTATCCCAGCCGTCTGAATTCGAGCGTATCGATGGGGATATAGAGTGGGAGAGTACAAGGAATTAGAGTATAGAACATCTGATTTTTGGAACGTTGGACTGTTGAATAGAACACATGAAAGTAAACAGGTGCAGCATAAGCCATCCGAGTCAAGTCTTTGTTCGGTATCCCGTACCAGTATCCAAGCCCCCCATCCTCGCAAGCTCCCTCAAACCTTTGAGAACACAGACTTGTCGAGGGACAGCTAGCTACCAAAGCGCTTCACGAGAAGTTGCCCCACCGTCTCGCGCGGCGCGTCGGGGTCCAGAGGGTTGGAGGCGCCGACATCACCGTGCCAGAAGGTGGCAAACGACAGGCGCTCGTGGTCATCCTTGTTGACGACGCGGTGCCTGGCGCTCATGTAAACGCCGCCGGACCACTTCATGATTATGTCGCCGCAGTTGATGACGTAGACGTCCTCCAGGGACGGGACGGGGAGCCATGCCTCCTCGCTCTCGACCCAGACCTCGAGACCCTCGCGGCCGGGCTGCTGGAGGAGGACGGTGACGCCGCCAAAGCCGTTGTGGGCGCCGACGCCGAACTGGCCCTCGAGAGTCTTGTCAGCCTCGGGTTAGCGGATCATCTTCATCTGAACGATGGGGCGCTTGGAAAAGGTGTCCATGACGGAGACAGGCTGGTTGAGACCCTCGAGGAGGATCTCCCAGATTGTACGGCCGAGCTTTCCACTGTCCTCGTAGTACTGCCACACCGGATCGTGGAAGTCTTGCTCGGCCATGTCGGGCCACACGTTGGAGCAGTGAAATCCCGAGGGCTCAACGACGGGGTCCTCGCGGCCGATGTAGAAAGCCTTGATGCCATCAGATAGGGTTTTCAGGAAACTGAGATTGGCAGTCGAATAATTGCACATCGTATCGAGAACGTCTTCGAATATAGGTCCTGCCAACGTACCTCCTTAGAGTCGGGGAGCGCATCACCCTCACGCAGGTCATACCGGAGCACTCGTAGCCCCTGCGACCGGGGCTGTTGAGAAAAGACAGCTTCATCTTCTCCTCCTGGGCCTCTGGAAGAATTCATCAATGCTCTCCAGGAGGGCTCTCTGGAAAGCCATGGGCACGCCGTGGTTCTTGACCTGGAAAAAGCCAAACTGGGAGCAGGCTTCGCGCACCTCGGCCACGACCTTCTCCCTATCCCCAGGAGCCTTGGGGTTCAGGTATGGGCCGAGGTCGACGAGAGGTAACTCGATTGTTCCTGGCATGGTGAATATAGATGCACGATTATTCGACTTCCCTCGAGATGTTGACAATAAGCTCGGAGAGCAGGGAGCTCCAGGAGACTTGTGAAAGGGGACATGTACATTCAATACCTGGCAGAATGCGCCTCTTAATTGCGCTGTAGAGTATCAATTTCCCAAGCCAGGATGTAAGCTCGGCCAGTAGAATGCCTACAACTTTCAGCAAGGAAAGGTCCGTCGGTAGACCCCGTAAGATCGGATCTGACGTACATACTTCGGTGATTATAACCGTGAGACCATCTCGGCGAATTCGATCGAACGGCACTTTTTGTGTTTCAATCATTGCAGACAATATCGGAGCCTGTGCTTATCTCTATACGAAGCAGAAACCTAGAGGAGCCCCTGGGTCACCGAAGTAGACGTCCATCGCGCGCTCATGCTCTCAGAGAGTGCCTCGTCACTATATCAGACCACACATGGCATATAGAAGCGACGTGTAGCTCTCCAATATACCCGGAATAAACATTATTTCTTCTCCTTCTTACCTTATCAGACAGCCTGAATTTGCATCGTCGGACAATATTGGAGGGGAAAAAATAGGAATATCGCCGTATGATCATTCGTAGACTACACAAAGCAAGAAGACGTTCGGTCGCGCGCCGTTCCGGTCCCCATAGCTAGAAAGAAGATGGGCAGGTGGAAGAAGGTGGGGATGTATGTTTTGGGACATTGCTGGACTTGATGCATATCATCTGGTATCTCGACATGATAGCAGATTGAGTTTCAGCTTCTTGACAAAAAAAGAAAAGTAAACAACAGACGATGTGAGTGCCAAGTAACTCGCTCGACATTAGTAGACATCACTGATGTACTGAATGTCTTTGATCTTCTCCAACCATTCAAGCGTCTCCACCTCAGTCTTGCCCGTCTTCTCTCTGCAAATCTTCCTGAAAGTCTCGGTAGAGCTCATGCCCAGCCTAGCCGCACTGCCACAGATATAGACCCTTGCGCCCTCCTGTAACGATGACCAGACACGATCTCGCGCCTCCCACAGTCGCGACTGAACGTACTCCCCCTTTCGACCGTCAGCAGGCCGAGAGAAGCACGCGATGACCTCGACGATACCGTCCTTCTCCCACGCCTCAAACTCCTCCCGGTAGAGGTAGTCATCCGCAGGGTTGCGGCAGCCGAAGAAGAGTAGAGCGGGGCCCAGCTCGACATTCCCCGTAGTCTTGGCAGATGCACGCTACTGGACAGAGGCTCGCATCGGAGCGATGCCGGTTTCGGCGGCGAGCATGAGGATGGGGGCCTGAGGGTCGGGCGGGAGCTGGAATGGCACGTTGGCCCTGCACACCTGGCAGAAAACACGGTCGCCCGTGCTGCGGCTGGCAAGGTACGAGCTCGCAACTCCCTGGAAGGTCCCGTGGCCGCTCATTGCGGGGCTCTCCAGGAGGTCGAATGTCAGAGAGACGGCAGGGCCAACAACGCCCGAGCCCTCCAGGCTGTGGGGGTCCATGGGCGATGAGGAGATGGAGTATGTACGGGGCGCTAGGGGGACGAGAAGGTTTATGTACACGCCGAAGGGCACCTTTAGACGGGGGACGTCCTCGAGAACATCTAGAAGCGAGTACCTCCTATCCAAGAGCTGTTGGTAGATGTAGTCCTCCTGCATCAACCCGAGACGGTAGCTCTCCTTGCGGTCACGGTCTGCCCACGAGGCGAGGATGCTCAGCTGCTTCTTTGTGATGGGCGTAGCCAGCTCAACGTTCCTCTTGAGGAACTCGGTAATCGCCATGGGCTGAGAAGGGAGGAAGGTCTTGGTGCTGGATGGAACCTTCATGACGTCCTCGGGCCCAAGGTTGAATCGCTTCATGACATGAGAGACGATCGCAGCCGAGTTCTCGCCCCGCACAACGACGCAGCCGCCAGATCGATATGTGGTGCCGAGGGGAAGGCGGAGGTCAATATGACGTTTCGAAGCTCCGAACGAAGAAGCAGCAGCCAGCTCACGATGGGCCACGACAGTCGCGAGAAGGATGGGCTCACCACCGGGTCCTTGCTGAGATGTGACCTTGACAGAGTTGGCATTCTCGATGACAACGTCGACACCAGCACGCTCCTCGCGCCCAATCTTGCCAATCGCACTGCTCTCACCGGAAATCGTGACACACAGGCTCTGGCTCTATGCCTCCCAGGGCCCAAAGAGATCGCGCTTGACATTGCTGAAGCCAGCCTCTTTTATGCGTTTAGCCCCAATCTTGACAAGGGCCCCCGACCAGCTTGGGGATGCGGTGAAACGTGTGAGCCCAGTCACTGTTTACCGCACCAAAGACGGCGAACTCGACACCTTCAGGTAGCTTCTTCCCCTGTGCTGCCATCCCTTCGACCCACGCGACAAACTTCTTGGCGTTGTCTGTGGGGCGGCCTTCGTACGGTGGTGTGATGATGAGAGTGGGCATCTCCGTCGACAGGGAGTCGACGGCCGAGTCCATCTCCTTCACCTGGGCGACCCCGAGGCCGGAGCGGGGAGCGAGGGAGGAGAAATCCGAGACGAGAGACTCGCAAGTTTCCTGGTTTCTTCCTACAAGGACAGAAACAGCCTTGAGTGTCTTGCGGAATGTCGTGTCTGCTTCATCTCCTGCATGGCCGTCCACCTTCATCTCCGAGGCTGATACACGGCCGAGGCCTTCCCGAGCCGAAACACCGCCACCGGGGATGCCGAGGTTGAGCGTGCGGCCCTGGCGGCGTCGCACCTTCATCTTGAAGTCGACGGGTTTGACACCCATCTGTCCAGTGAGTTCCATCTCATAGTTCGGATTAGTCAGCTCAATGTCGAACTTCTGCAGGTGTCATCGTGAATGGGGTTTCCTATAGTGGCGACGAATCGTGTCTTGTTTTTAACGTATTATACAATACCGTTCCTTCTCATGGAGGGGATCAATGCAGCGCAAGACCGGAGTGGGAGAAAGGAAGATGGGCCGAAAAGCACAGGAGATTATTATACGTTTGGTAGGGAAGACTGGCTGGCTTGGGGTTCAGACCAGGCGCTACGGGTCGCTCAGATCTATCGCATGGGAGTCGCTGGCAGAGGGTACATGCATGTACTGTGAGACTTCACAGTGAGTCTGAGTGCCAGCTGCATCGTCTTATTAGTGTATAGGCCTAGAAAGAAAAGCGGCGTGTTGAAAGAGGATGCCGCTGTCATGCGACTTTCGGCTACGAATATGACCGTCGTTTTGTGTGTCGGGATTGCGGGCGGACAAGACCCGGTGTAAGTCGGTCGGAGTGGGGCCGCGTCGTTCGGCGAATTATTCCGACTTTTTTTATTTTCATTTTTAATTGGGCCGGTGTTAATGGCCGACCGAGCTGGTACTGATACGAACTCGTATTGTGAAGTTCGTTATTATTATCTGATACAGTTCCAAGAGAGCGAAGTAGAGGAGCAGATGTATTGTAAAATCGCCGACTTGATAGAGGTGACGGCATTTACCGATATTAGTAGGTCCGGCATGGAGGGCGTCCATTCCACGGCGACTTAGCCTACTAACTAATTTAAGTGAGCTCGTCGGCGCATGTCGATTCTCTCGAAACTACTTAAGCATCCATCGAGGTTGACCTCGGATACGAAGCAGCTTATGTCGTACACGAGGTCCGCAGCGTGACACCGTCCTGCCACAGTTGGCGTTCCCCATAACGACAGATATCATTGACGTGCGACGTCGTCACTCCCTCGGCTGCAGTGATTACTTGAAAACACCTCCGCGTCCCATCCATTTCTTTGGGCTTTAGCTCAGGATACAACTCAGCACAAGGCTCCTCATATCAGCAAGACGTATCCATTCAAGCTGCGCATCACCTCCCTCCCAACGCACGAACAAGAGATGGCCGCTCTCCCCAAGACCCAAAAAGCCCTCGTGGCCCTGGGACGCGGCGAGCTGGGCCTGAAGGATGACGTCCTCCTCCCTGAACTCACCCCCGACATGGCCATCGTGAAGACGGCAGCCGTTGCCATCAACCCTGCCGATGCCAAGATGCTGGACTACAGCGCCGCGGTCGGTGCCATCGTCGGATACGACTACGCCGGCACCGTCGTGGCTCTCGGATCCAAGGCTGCCGAGAGCGGAAGGCTTGCCGTGGGCGACCGCGTGGCCGGCCTGGTTCATGGCATGAACAAGCTGATTCCGGACGTTGGTGCCTTCTCAGAATACGTCGGAGCTTGTGCAGACCTCCTTCTCAAGATTCCCGACACCATGAGCTTCGAGGAGGGCGCCACCTTTGGAACTGGTGTCGCCACGGCGTCCCTAAGCCTGTTCCGGGAGCTTGGCGTGCCTGCGTCGCTGGACCAGCTCCGCGCTGGCGTTCCCGCCGACGATGAGAGCCGTGAGGGCCGCGAATTCGTTCTCGTCTCGGGAGGCGCGACCGCTACTGGCACTCGTGCCATTCAGCTGCTGAGACTGTATGTCTCTATCCATACCTCTCTGAACCCATAATTTCGAGCTGACTCATTGCAGTGCCGGCCTCCGTCCGATAACGACGTGCTCCCCCGGAAGCTTCGACCTCGTGTACCGGTTCGGTGCTGAGAAGGCCTTTGACTACCGCAGCCCGACCTGTGCTGACGACATCAAGGCCTACACCGATGGAGAGCTGATGTTTGCTCTTGACTGCGTTTCCCAGGCCGACACCACTCAGCTGTGCTACTCGGCCATGAGTCGTGCCGGAGGCCGCTATGTTGCCCTGGAGCCCTATCGTGGCAGCATTGCCCAGACCCGCGCACGTACGGTTGAGGCATCCTGGGTCATGGTTCTCACCATCTTTGGTCGGACCGTCGCTCTGGATGGCGAGTACGGACGTGAGGAGCGTCCTGCTGATCGTGTCTTTGGTGCCAAGGCATTTGCTGCTGTTCAGGACCTCTTGGACCGTGGCCTTGTCCAGACACACCCTGCTAAGATCTCGGGAGGCGGCTGGGAAGGTGTTGCTGACGGCGTCAACCATATCCGGAAACATGCCATGTCTGGCCAGAAGCTCGTGTACTCGGTGGCTTGATTTGGTATTCTCGTAGGTTTCCATAGCGCACTTTGGATTAATATAGGTCAACTCGGAGCCACCATGTAATACATTGAGAAGAGCCGAACTCCCATACGACCGAGGTCCCGATACGGCACCTGGTATCAGGGCGATTTAAGGACCAACAGCCCATCTCACCATTCGGCAAGGCCCGAGCTGTTGACCAGGTCCCTGCCTGGCACTCCTTCGAAGAATGAAGGATCCAGTCGGCCAATACTGCCGGAGATCTGGGTCTCATTAATCAGGGTTCAAAAGACTCTTCTTCTTTCTTCTCATTCAAGGAAAATGTAGACTTACGAGGGTGTCGAACTGACCCCATCCCGCCATACCCAGCGTATCGACGGCATCGAGCCCGACGTCGGAGAATAATGTCAAGCCATCACCTAGAGCTTCATCCCATGAATGCCGATTCACAGCTCCCACAGCGACGGAGTTTTCGCCCCCACCTTGTGGATGAGACGGGGAAGGAGATATGCCCGAGCCATGGAAAGAATGCTCTGACCCGGCTGCATGAGGCGCGGCCGTGGATGCCAGGTAGGCATTGTGCCGAAGAACTTCCACGCGAAGTTCCTGCAGTACAATCCCATAGCGGTGCATCATGGATCCCTTACTAGCAATTCTCTCGAGCTGCGCATGGCAATGCGATGCGTCGTTGAAATACTGCAAGTAGGTTTGGGGTAACTCGGTCCTTTGTCGGATGGCGTAGACATAGAGAACGACGACAGCACTGAATCCGTAGTAGGGGATGGACTGGGAGCGGAATCGTTGTCAGCCGTATCAGCAGCAAAGAGGGTTCCAGGAAGGAGCATACAAATAGAGTGCTGTACAGGTGACCGGCCGCATTGATGCGGTCAATCTGCTGAACGATGTGGACGGCCGCATCCAGACAGTGCTGAACGTTACGCTCGAGTTCAGGCTGTCTTGATGAGAGGAGTCGATCGCCATGACTGTTACCCGCCAGGTTGGCGAATGTCTTGAGCAAGAAGGGTCTGTGTACCAGAACCCTAGAGTGCCAGAATGTCAGTCGTAGCACGTCGCGTTGTCGGAGTACCAGCCTGACAAAGATGGAGGAATCGCCATCTGCATCGAAGAGGTACTGAATGTCCTCGCGCCATCTGTCAAGCTTATCCGTGAAATCGTCTGCCAGCTCGAAGTGTCTCTCAGTTGAAGGGGTCGAGATTCCATATAGACTCCGAAGAATTCGAGTTTGTATTTGTGACAGCCTGATTGTCGAGTGAGATGATTGATCATTTAGGCGACTGTATGGGTGGATGATGAGATAAGATACCTATGATGCGCCACCGAAGCCGACATCGTCGAAGGACCCCTGATCTCGGGCTGGACTACCTGTCTTGGTTGGATCTGACTATCGTCCACGTCAAGAGGTAGGTCCTGGTCAATGTCGTCGTCGTGGAAAGTCATGGGCCGCCCCAATATATCGCTGAGATACGTGTTCAGGGTGTAGGCACACCAGAATGTCCTCTTACGACATTCAATCTCGACGCAGTCCACCGGGCTGGCACCCCGGAGGCTGCCCCGGGACTTGCGGTGCATGCCTAATGCCAGCATCAGATGCGACGCGGTCCCGAACACGGTCCAGCAGTGGTTGAGACGGGACTGTGCGAGGAGATAGAAGCATTGCGCCAGCATCACCTGCACGGTTGTCAGGCTTGTCTCTCCCTTTTCGATGGAGAGCTGATGCTCCGCCACGGAGTAATAGCGGACACCGAGAGGACGTTAGCATCATCTCGGAAAACACAGACTCCAGCGACAGACGGACGGTCCAAGATACCTTGTCTCAGAAGCCTCAGAGGTGGACAGAGCAACGCCTTCATCCGGCACATCGCTATGTCCGTAGTTGATTGCAAAGGCGAAAACCATGAACAGCAGGGCTACCCGGCTTCGAGCGCCACGCCGTTCCCTTATGGCCCCACCGGTGCTGTAGAGTTCCTCGAGCCATGCCTCTACAGTCGGCCGATGAAGGAAGTGGTTCGTAGCTGCGGCGAAGCCGAAGTACCTCCTCACCATGGCATGCGCCTGCGTCCTTGGCGGGAGGATAGCGAAGGGCGACCTGTCACCTGGAAGGGGCAGATCACCAAATGTGAATGTCGATGAGCTGGATGGGCCGTATGCATGCTTTTGGAGGGTGCGCTGCACGCGCAGCAAGAACGATACACCTGATGCTGGCCCGACATAGTGTCCCTGCTGGTCCGTCTGATTCTGTTCGGGGGAGTTGCGACCTGAATGCTCTAGCGTGCTAGTCCCGCGGTATCTGGGATGATGGCCATACCGTACGGGATCAGCAGATATCTGAGTCGCATCGCTCTGGGTCAGGGGTGGTGTTGGACCGTCCGCATGGTGGTCCGCTGATATCGAGGAACCGATGCTGCTCGAAGGCGGCCGGTCATCTACCAGCTCTCGCCCCGGACGGTTACCTGGGCTGAAGTCGGACGGGGATTGCGAATAGACATCGTCCCCCGAAGCATCTGTAGTGATGGACGCTTCTGGATTCAGGTCTATGGCCGGTACCTGGCCACGACGGTATGCAGCCGTGAATTGGCAATCGAGCTTTATTCGGGCGCAGAAAGTGCAGGGCCAAGTTCCGGAACACCTAGTCTTACGCCTGTGAAGTGTATGAGTTTCGGATCTCTCACGACGAAGAAGAAGTCTTGCACGTTTCATTTACCCTTTGCATCTGTCACAGGCTCTACTCACTCGCGTACGAACATGTCGATCCTTCCTTTGTCGCTTTGGTAAATGACCACCCTCCAGGAGCCCGGTGGCAGACCACCCTTGTATCTCCGGTGTGTCGGAAACTTGCCGCATACTTCTTATATCCGAACCGTCGTATGTTTCCGTTATATTTGGCAAACCCGATACGATCTCGAGATGAAAGCCGATGGAAGATCACAATGGAGGGTCTGGGGAGTGTTAAAGACAATCCGGTTCTCTTTTCCGGCACCCGAGAGGCCTTTATCCGATCCCCTGCCTGCTTCTCCGCAGCTTCTCCACAATACCAATGAGGGGGAAAACAGGGAAGGCGGAAACGGAGTACGGAGTATCAGTATTCTTTTGGATGTCATTAGGCGGAAAGTCGTATGCCATGCATGTAACGCGTGGAGAGTTGTAGACTTACATTACGTTCCCGGGTGCTCCGTTGTACGTTAGTCAGGCATGAAAGGGCGTCGATGACATCGAACGTACGAAGTGTTTCACAAAGACGGAAGATCAAGGTCGGTAATGCAGTACATATCATCAGTTCCCAGGCAGGTCTCCCTCCTATCGGAGTAGCAGTTCACGTAACATTGAACCGACGCCGAGCGGGCTTAGTTGGACCTCTGTACCTTTGTTCCCCGCAGCTCATGTATACGCCGTAAGACGTCACAGACGGCTTTCTCGACAGCTCATCCCACCCTCACTTTTATGAAGACCACACGAAGATCTCTCATATCTGACCGGACCTGTGTTTCGGAGATTGTAGGAGAACCGTGTGGGGAGCGTGAAAGTCTCGGCCATGGCGACACAAAAGTTGGACGTGCTCCTCTACGGACTTGGGGCGTAAGTGCTGACCACGAATAGCTGACTGCATTCCCGATTGATCATCTTCATGCAAAGCTGAGCCCTGCATCATAGAATCGGTTCATTCTACGCATTCATCATCAGCCGCAATGAGAACGTGCGCCTGACAGTCGTCGCACGCTCGAATTACGAGGCTGTGAAGGCAAACGGCATACAGATCACTAGCGAAAACCATGGCGAGCACCGCGTGGTGCCGTACAGAGGTACTGCGACCCCAATGGACATGGAGAATGAGCCGAGCTGATCCCAAGCAATATTACTCTCAATAGTGGTCAGGACAGCCGCCGAGGCAGCCACCACCTTTGACTATATCGTCTGTGCCCACAAGGCGCTGAACCAGGCCAGTGTCCCCTCCCAGATCGCGTCCTGCGTTTCCGACAGGGAGACGACCATCGCGATCATCCAGAATGGCGTGGGGAATGAGGAGCCATTCAGAGCCGCCTTCCCGACCGCCACCATCATCTCAGGTGTTGTATGTGAAGACGGGACCGAACCTTCGTCAGGCCTAAGCCTCCGAGCGGCTGACGCTTAGCATAGACTTGGGTCGGGGCCAAACAGACAGAGCCCGGTATCGTTGCGCACACGTCGTCGGAAGACCTGCAGGTCGGCCTGTTCGAGAACAAGCACGGCGACTCGGCACTTGACAACCGGAACCTCGAACGATTCGCATCCCTCCTAGCAGGAGGGAAGACCGTATTCCAGGTCGTGCCCAACATCCAGGTTCAGCGCTGGGAAAAGGTGGTGTGGAATGCGGCGTGGAACTCGCTGACCACGCTCACCCTCATGGACACACACAGCTGGCTCAATTCATCCGTTGAAGCGACGCCAATGACACGCAGGCTGATGAGAGAGGTCATTGACGTTGCAAAGGCACTGGATGTGCCGATTGAGTACGACCTCGTCGATAAGTTGTTGGGAAAGATATTGAGTATGCCGCCGATATACAGCAGCATGAAGGTGGACTTTGACAACGGAAGGCCGATGGAGGTGGATATCATCCTCGGATACCCTGTGCGCAAGGGGAGGGAATTGAGAATCCCCATTCCTACTGTCGAGACGATTTATACTATTCTCACGGCGATAAATATGCGTCTGACGCTGGCGCAGTCTGCGGGAAAGCTGAATGCTTCTCTCTAAGCTCGCCGACACTAGCATAGTACTGAGAGTTGGGTTATCCGAGTTCGATGGGCATCCATGAACTTGCGGCTGTTCCTTTGACTGTACTGTCTAGCAGAGCCGCTCCGCTGTCTGCAGATATCATCATCTTATAGCTTAACACGCCTCGACACCTCATTCTCAGCCCTCTCACTGTTGACCATTTGCGGCACCAACCCATCCACGTTTGCAGCCCCAGCCAGTGCCATATTTGTCCGAATTTCCGCACGAAAGATGCCTATCATTCTCCGTAACCCTGCCTCACCGTAACCGCCACACATGGAGTAGAGGACCGGTCGTCCGATGCCCACTGCCGTGGCTCCCAGTGCGAGCGCCTTCACGACATCGGTGCCCCTCCTCACCCCGCCATCAACAAATACTTGGAATCGGTGTCGTGAGGAGCGATCTAAGATGTGCGGTGCGTATCGTCGGATCTCAAGAAGCGTGATGATGGGGGACTGGGCTGTATCCTGCGACCGTCCGCCATGGTTGGAGAGCACAATGCCGGCGACACCACTCTCGTAGGCCATGACGGCATCTTCTACTGTCTGGACACCCTTCAATACTATAGGCAACTTGGTCGTATCCCTCATCCATTTCAGGTCTTCCCACGTCAACAGGGGGTTCAGGAGGCTGAGCGAGGTCACCTTGGCCACGCCGCCGGCATCGTCTCCTAGCGTGTCATCGCCTTCGGCCGCCCGTAGCCTGTCGTCTTTCTCGCGCTTTCCAAGGACAGGCGTGTCCACCGTCACGAACACGGCTGCCGCACCCATGCGCTCGGCTTTGCGAATCAGCTCCTTTGAGCGTTCTGGGTCCCGATTGGAATACAATTGAAAGAAGAGAGGCTGATCGGAGGACACCCGAGAGTTGAAGATGGCTTGGTGCGATGAGCCCGTTGGCATGCAGTAGATGATTCCTTCCTTTCCAGCGCTGGCAGCGATGATATTCTCTGCGTCCTTGTGTGCATATTTGCCTAGGCCCGTCGGGGAGAGATAAATGGGAAGCGATGAGTGATATCCCAAGATATCTGTCACGGCCGAGACGGGCTCCACCGGTCGGAGGATTCTGGGCCGCAGCGTGATGCGGCCGAAGAGGCGGCGAGCATCCGCAATGCTCAACTCGTCATCTGCACCGGAGGAGTAGTATGCCCAGCCGGCAGAAGACAGATATTGGGCTGCTACCCTTTCGAAGTCGCCGACGGAGATGATAGTATTGAGGGGTGGTATCGGAGATGTCGCTGGTTGTGGTTCCTTTACTGTCTCTTCCTTCCCTATAAGTGTGCCATCCGCCAGACGTCCAACACAACGTTTTGCGGGGAGTGTCTCTTCGATGAGGCTGGCATCGTGGACCTCGTCGTAGGCTTCTGTAGCATCACGACCGGCACGCTTGAGGATGACACCAGTTCCGCCTGGGTGCTCATGCAGGAAATCTGGGAAGAGGTCAAATTAGTCCTTGGCCCTAAATCATGTTTTTGGGGTCACATCTCAAGCATTGTATTTACCAGTGACGTCCCAAACCTTTCCGTGTATGACAATCCAGCATGACGTCTCGTCTGAATGGCGAGAAACTTCAGCTCCGTCGACAGACGTCATCGTGTAGAGTTTTCCCTCTGACTTGCATATGCCAGATGGCGACCTGGAGCCTGTCGGATGGGAAGATGAAGAATCTCAAGCCAGACCTTGGGCCTGAATACGGTGCTGCATTGCTGTAAGCCAAGGCATATTCATACGTCCAACTGACCAGCCAATCCTTTCCATAGCCGATGTGCTCGGCACGAGTGCAGGATTCAGCAGCACTCGGTACATGTAGTCCCGGCCCACTAGGTAAACGTAGATGCAAAAGCGTCTGGTATGCTTTTCCGGCCCTCCACAACCTTGGAATCAAGCAATCTCCCCCACAGTGGGATGTCAGACAACCCCCACGCGCAACCGAGACACTGTGCGTCATCTACTCGTCCAGCCATCACGATGCTCATGTCGTTTTTGCGGGCCGGGGTATTGGATGTCTGGGGTAATAGGGCGGAAGAAGGTCTCTCCCCATGGGGTCGGATATCTGACCCTGGGGAATTGGAGTTAGCGCATAGCTAACCGGAGTTTAAGGGGAGATATGGACGTCACTCTACGTCAAGGTCTGGTCTTAAAAGCCGAGCTGTTCCATTCTCGTCATCTCCCAATCCGTGCCTTTCCCCCTCTCTTTCGACAACATCTATCCGTGCTGTAGATACCGCAGCAACCACCATGGACCGGAAAGTCGCGGCGTCGGAACAGCTGGAGGAGGCCAGCGGTGTGAGTGTCATCGCCATGCCGGCATCCATCAGTTCATTGACCGAGGCCGATCGTCAGGTCCTCGGTCGCAAGGCCACCACCAAGATGGATATTGTCATCATGCCCGTTCTCGTCATCATGTACATCCTCAATTACCTGGACCGTCAGAATATTGCCAGCGCCAAGCTGGCAGATATCGAAGGGGACTTGGGCCTGACAGATGTTCAGTACCAGACATCCGTCAGCATCCTCTTCTGTGGCTACAGTAGGTATGCCGTGGCATGATACCGTGAGACACCGACGTTTACGCTACTGATCCTATTCAGTCCTTATGCAGGTTCCCTCCAACATGATTGCCGGCCGTATCTCATGGCCTGGTACATACATCTGCCTCGGCATGGCTGCCTGGGGCGTCATTTCGGCCTGCATGGCAGCTGTCCACAACTTTGCCGGACTCCTGGTTGCCCGCGTCCTGCTTGGAATCGTTGAAGCCGTATTCTTCCCCGGAGCGCTGTACTTCCTGTCCATGTTTTACACACGCAAGCAGTTTGCGTTCCGCACCGCGATCCTGTACAGTGGGTCGCAGCTGGGAAATGCCTTCGGTGGTCTTTTTGCTGTTGCGATCCTGAACCTGGATGATGTCCATGGCATAGAAGGCTGGCGATGGGTGGGTCAAGTCTATGTGTCTAGGATGCGCCTCTCGTGTACATCGGGACCCTCAACTGATCATCCCATCTCACAGCTATTCCTCATCGAGGGCGTTGCCACTGTTGGCCTTGCGTTGCTGTTTGCGCTCGTCCTACCGAATTCCAACAAGAAGATACTGGGCCTCTCAACGATCGAGTGTGAATGGATCCAGTGGAACTTCTCCCTGGACCAGGGCCAGGCTGACGACTCGCAAGAGATCACTGCGTACCAGGGATTTGTCATGGCCGTGAAAGATGTCAAGACCTGGCTGTTGCTGGGTGTGCTGTACTGCGTGAGTCCCCCAGGCCCTGAGCATCCGCCCCTCTATAATTAATACGTTGGGTTAGACGTATATCGTCGGAGCAGTCGTCAACTTCTTCCCCAGCGTCGTCGGTGGCCTCGGCTATGACCGCACCAGAACCTATCTCCTGACCGCGCCCCCCTTCATCCTCTGCGTCATCTGCATGCTCGTAAACGGCTTTCACTCCGATCGGGTACAAGAGCGTTTTTGGCACATATCCGTCACTCTGGTCGTCACTCTCGTGGCCAACATCATCGCCGTCTCGACCGTCAACGTTGCGGCCCGCTACACTGCCATGATGCTGCTTCCCGGTTCATTCTATGCGTCTGCTGTCGTCACGCTGTCTTGGATCACCGGAACTCTGAACCAGCCAGCAGCCAAACGAGCCAATGCTATTGCTCTTATCAATGCATTGGCCAATACTCCAAATATCTGGTGTAGTTACCTGTACTATAGCTCTCCGCGCTATCTGACAGCCTTCATCGTTAACGTTGCCGCAACCGGGCTGGCTATCGGGTTCGCAGCGGCCACTAGAATACACCTGCGCCGTGAGAACTCCAAACTGGAGCGTGGGGAGGATGCTGGGACAAGTGGCCCTAGCGAGTCTCAGATTGCTTTTGGGTTCCGGTATCGCCTATGAAAGGTGAATTCTGGGGATCTTATTCTTCTGTCGAACATGGTCGAGCATTGGAATGTTTGCAACCGCAAGATGAACTTGCCTGGTCCCACACGCCACATTCCACACTGTCAATGAGCGTAGATGCACTCATACACGCTATAAAATTCAATCATGAACTATGAACAAGGAGGAGCAGGAGGAACGGAAAGAAAAGAGGCTAAAGATTTCTCATACATCCAAGTCTCTGTGTGAAATGCCACACCGATAGAGGAGAGCTCGCCAAAATCAACCCCTTTTCGGATAGCTACCTCTTCAACTTTACCAACAGTTCGTATTTGCAATCTTCAAATTCCATCGTGCCCTACTCAAAGGTAGTATTCATCCTGATGTAGAGCATGTAGAACATGTAGAACAGTGCTGGTGATGCGGCTACTGCCAGTGGGAAGGAGACCAGACATCATATGGCGAGATTGAAAGGCCAAGGGTTCTGCCCTGATTCTAGCGAAGAAAGACGAATGATAGTTCAACCCTTGCGTGGATAGCATCATCGAAACCGGCCCTATGACACCGGCCAAAGCCCCCGATACTCCACACTTTTCGCTCGTTTATCGGCAGTTGCTAGCGCCGTCGGCAACAGGCCGATCGGGAGCAAGGATCGGAAAAGATGTCGCCAAAACCTCCGCACTGTAACACATCACATATCCGATGTGGGGCATTCACTAGGCCTTGGAAATCCCAATATGATATGCCGAAACGGTGACGGAAAATAGAGCGTGCGGGGATCGTGGCATATATTTACATGATAGGCGGAACGGACGGGGGAGTCCTCCCCGAGACTTCGAGTCCGACGATGCATACCTACCTAGTACTCGTAAACTGCACCAAGGCCAACTTTGTTCTCATGGTTGAGATCAGTCACTTCTACCTTTTCATCCATCCATCCAATAGGGCAATATCTTATTTCGAAACTTGATACCTCCATCTTTATCTCATCATGGCCAAGATTTCTACTGTCGAGTACTTCCGTGTGAAACCCAGATGGCTTCTGGTAAAGATTACAGACTCCAACGGCGAATATGGCTGGGGTGAGGCCACGCTCGAGGGTCATGATTTGGCAGTTGAGGGTTGCCTCGAAGAGATGATTCCCCGCATTGTCGGGCTCGAAGCCAAGTAAGTGGCAAGAGAGAAGGAAAGAGGAAGACTGCGTGTGCTTCATGTTGACATCATCACATGATCGTTTTGCAGCCAGATTGAGAATATATGGCAAACATTCTGGAGGCATGGGTTCTACCGTGGCGGGCCTGTCTTCATGTCGGCCCTTTCAGGGGTTGATATTGCTCTGTGGGATCTCAAGGGTATGAAACTCGGACACCCAACTTTCTTATGCCATGAATTTCAGACTCACATCATAACACCAGGCCGGACTCTCAAGGTTCCCATCTACGAGTTGCTAGGCGGATTGGTCCGCGACTCGGTCCAGGTTTATTGCTGGATTGGCGGCGACCGTCCTTCGGACGTTGAGAAGGCTGCGTAAGCACTCCCTCCGTGGATAAATTCCAAGACGGTAGTTTCTGATCAGGGTGCAGAAAGGTGAGGATCGCCCAGGGACTCAAGTGCGTCAAGATGAACGCGACAGAGGACATGAACTGGGTGGACTCACCCTCCGTACTGGATTCGGCCGTGGAGCGTCTCAAGGCTGTCAAGGCTCTCGGCCTCGACGCAGGCCTCGACTTCCACGGTCGCCTCCACAAGCCCATGGCCAAGCAGCTCGTGGCCGCGCTGGAGCCCCACCGTCCGCTATTCATCGAAGAGCCGCTCCTGTGCGAGCACCCAGAGGCCCTGAAGCAGCTGACAGACCGGTCCACCGTACCCATCGCCTTTGGTGAGCGCCTCTACACACGCTGGGACGTCAAGAGGTTCCTCGAGGACGCGAGCGTCGACATCCTGCAGCCTGACATCGCGCACGCCGGCGGCATCAGCGAGACGAAGCGCATCGCGCAGATGGCTGAGGCGTACGATGTGGCCATTGCGCCGCACTGTCCCCTCGGTCCCGTGGCATTTGCCGCGTGCATGGCCGTCGCACTGACCACGCCCAATTTTGCCATTCTGGAGATGAGCCTCGGGATGCACTACAACACCGAGTCGGGCGACGACATCGATCTCCTGACCTACCTCAAGGACCCCGAGGTGTTTGCAATCGGAGACGACGGGTACATCAAGGCGCCGACGAAGTATGGTCTAGGTATTGAGATCGACGAGGACAAGGTTAGGAGCATTTCCAAGGGCACCAAGCCCTGGCAGTGCAAGGTGTTTCACGGTCCCGACGGGAGCATACGGGAATGGTAGAGTCAGTCAAATGTATAACACGTCTGAAGACTGGCACCTGTGCTGGATGTATACACCGCATGTTTCCCTCGTAGATAGGGTGTAGCATCTGGCATCTCAGGATACAACCTCTTGCGAAGGTGACGAAATGAGATGAGGAGTACGGAGTAATAGATGGCGATTTCGGGGAGCAGCAAGGAGAGATATGCACCTAACGGAGCCATCTATGCATGCATGCAGCAATCCAACCTCTCCCGCCAGTTCTCGCCTGGAGCGGAACAGGAGCTGCGTGAATACACGTGACTTTGGAGGAGGCTTTCAGCTATCGATAAGGTAACGCGATATCGGTCTCATAGCATCTGAGTAACAACCCCCCCCCCCCCYCCCTCCAAGCCCTTCTCTCTTCTTTTTTTTCCCAGGCAATTGCGCAACAGGACCATGTTGAGTGCCGCACGCACTGCCGGAAAGCAGCCGTTCTACCACAGTGTGGTGGTCGGCGGAGGCCCCGGTGGCATCGCCGTTCTCGGCAACATCTTAGAGAACGCCCCTGGGCAGCGCGTGCTCTGGATCGACCCTCACTTCAAGGGCGGTCGCGTCAATGCTAGCTACCGCGAGGTGCCCAGCAACACAAAGGTCGATCTCTTTGTCAAGTTTGCTAACGCCGTCACCCCGCTGGAGCAAATTGTCAGGTCAACGGCCAAGCCCAATGCCGTGACCGCCCTCGAAGCCCTGCCCCAGGATCAAGGCTGCACCCTTGGCTATGCGGCAGACTTATGTCTGATGCTGAGCGATGGAATTCCGCGTCAATTCCCCACGGTGCAGCAGCGGTTGGGCGAGGTTGCCGATGCAGTGCTAAAGCAGGTATGTCTCCCATCACATGCGCATACACATGTAGGTCCTATGCCCTCGTGCTAACTCTCTTTCCGCTGCAAAGGGGCCTCAGGGCAATCTCTGGACCGTCGGCCTCAGGGGGGGCACGTCAGCAGTAACACCGCGACTCATTCTGTGCACGGGCTCTCACCCGATCCCGAATGAGAAGCAGTCTGATTCGCCAGACGAGCCGGAGCCTCTTCACCTCGATGTTGCTCTCACTCCGTCTATTCTGGCCAGGACGATCGATTCCCAGGCGCCGGCGACCGTCTCCGTGGTGGGCGGGTCGCACTCTGCCATCTTGGTGCTCATGAACCTGTATAAACTCGCCACCACTAGCCATCCGCACCTCAAGGTCAAGTGGTTCACCCGCCACGAGAGCCTGCGGTATGCCGTATATAAGGATGGCTGGATCCTGTATGACAACACCGGTCTCAAGGGCCAGGCTGCCGCGTGGGCGCGCGAGAACCTGGATAAGGACGTCTTCCACTCCAGCCCCGTCTCAGGCGTCGTTCAGCGATTCGTAACGCCACCCGGTGAGCAGGAGCAGAGGATATACGAGCAGGAGTTGCCGGGCTCTAGCCACGTCGTGAGGGCCATCGGCTACGCGAGGAACCCGATACCGAAACTGTTCTCTGAAGGCGCTGACGGCGCGGCACCCACTCCCTTGGCTGTCGAGCACGACAGCGAGACTGGCCGGTTCTTCTCCAGCCCAGAGACACAGACCAGGAGGGAGCATGTTCCCGGCCTCTTCGGCGCCGGCATTGCTTTCCCTGAGAGGAGGGTGGACCCTTATGGCAATGTTGAGTATGCCGTTGGATTCTGGAAGTTCATGACCTTTTTGCAGAAAGCTGTTCCTAGCTGGCTCAAGGACGATTAAGGTGACGACGCTGCGTGTGTAGAGCTAGAAGGCCATTCACGAGTATAGTGTTGCTATTTACATATGATTCACATATACACAATATTAGAGCGTTTACCACGTCTGCATCTTACTGGTCTTCGCAGCAATTCTTAGGCAGGTGTCTGACACATCGTATAATAGTACCATGAAAACCAGTCCTACGGTGCTGGTCTCTCGTCGCCCTACACGAAGGTACGACAAAGTTTCAGCAATACCTGCGACCTTCATAGACAAAAAAACAAAACAAAACAACTTCAGGACTCAACTGCTACTGAGCTGTGACGATTGGCCACACTGTATTGATGATTTGATACATCTACTACACTATGGGTGATATCTCAATATTTGCCGCGGTAGTGCGAGTATGACTACGGGATATTAATACCTATTTCGATATGTGATAATGGACGATGAAACGCCCAGCATGCCAAACTAACACACTGTATTCATATTTCGAAGAGAAATATGCTGTAAGAGAGGAGAGAGAAAAGAGAGGTGTCAATGCCAATATGCACACATTTGCCGCACTGCGCCGTGCTTCACGGTTTTGATCCCAACCATTGTGAAGCCTGTTGCGGAGAGACGCTACAACAGTAGTATGGTTCTCCTTCTTGATTCCAGCAGTAGTAGCCGTTGAATATAGAGGTACTAATAGTCCGACAAAGCAACATGCAGCGTCCTACTGTGACACGGTCTACAACCTCCGAGATCGGGGATACGAAGCATGTCGCATCCCTCAGGGACTTTTCCGGAGACGGGAAACTAGAAGGAGGAAGGGAGCTCCTTCCGTCCCGGAGACTGGAAGGAGGAGGGCCATCCTTCATTGACTCCCTTCCGGAGAAGGAGAGCGAGGAAGAATAAGAGGAGGAGGAGGAGAGAAAGAGCAGTACGTACACCTTTTCTGCACCGCGTTGTGTGACCTGTGTCCTTGATCTAAAGATTATCGTGATATCTGTCGCGGAGAGAAGCTACAAAGCACCAGATAGTGCAGAAAATTGTGTGTATACTGATCTTAATCTCTCTCTCTCTCTCTCTCTCTACCAAACCCTCCCTCTTACCCCCTTTCGGGCCTGCTACTTCATCCCTCCATCCTTCCACCCTTCCGTCTGTCTAGCCCGTCTACCCAGTCTTCCTTCCTGTTCAACTAGGGCGAGTAAGAAGACCAGATCTTCCTTCCCATCGGAGGCGGGACGTGACATGAAAAGTGTGCCAGATATTCCTTTGCGGAGGGCTATCCTCCATCCTCGAGATATTGATTTCACACAAGATACCAGCGACGAGGGAGTCATACGTCATGCCTTTTGGTATGCTGAGACTTGAAAGTGTTGAACCGTCTTCATCTTTGAACCCGAATAAACATGAGTTATTCGTCTGTGCTTTGAACGTTTGAAGATGCCCATCTTTCTCTGTTTTTGGTCCTCCGGAAGCAATCTCCGGGGGAGCCGTTTCATTGGCTTCTCTTCGTCAGTTCCCAGGGGCAGAACGGGGACGTCTACCAGGTCAAGGGTGACTCTACATATATGCGACGCGTGTTTGGCCAACGTGTCCCAGTATTCCGATCTGCTAGCTGCCACACATCGTACCTTTTAGCTTCATTTGGTGACGGCCAAGAAGCGATCGTGCGGCGCTGTGCTGAAGAGGAGGACCCCCCTCGCGCGAGCAACATAGCCCAGGTGAGGGGAGATTGTCAAGAATGGACGGTTCGGGTCCTCAGACGTCTTCGGGCTGCTGGGGTAGTGAGCAGCGAACGGGTCAGTTTTGCTAAAAATATGATGGAACCTGTCTAGGGTCTAGGAGGATGAGTAACCATGATTCACGTGACTGTCAACTGTGCATATACTAACACCGTAGCGTTCCGTTACTTTCTATCGAGAATATTCCAATCAACTTCACGTTCTATCAGCTCTTAGTGCTAATTTCTATATATATCTATATAATTTACGGCAAGATATAGATGGCACGGACGATGAAGTTAGAGGAGGTAGGTGGGGTTGGCAAGATATGAATGGTACGGACGGTGAAGTCTGGAGGTAGATGGGGGGTATAGAGTTATTATATTATATGCTAGTATATAGAAGCATCTAATTATTATTATATATTGCGGCACGAGATGTGATAGAAAACATAAAGAAAGAGAGGATGATTCATTAAAAATAATAGTAGCTATTAGAAAAAGAAGCTGTGGGTCCACGAGGAGGGACGAAGTGATAAGGAGAAGGTATTACGGCCCGTTATGCGACCTTCACGTGTACCCTATAATTTCCTTACTTATCACTACTATCTTCACTTACACGTAAACGTTATTAACTAAGCGATCACCTCGATTACCTAGCTGTTATGGCCCATTATGCGACCTTCACGTGGACCCCACATTTTCTTACTCATCAACACCCTCACCTACACGCGATTATACCGATTCAATGATAATCGCCGTGAATCACCTCGAAGGAGCGATTACTACGATTACTAGTGAATCGCATTAATCGCTATAACCGATTAACACCCTAACTCTATAATCGCCTAGTATATAGTCAACCTCATTTCTATAGCCTAGTCACTCCTTACCTAGCTATTAATATAGTAGTCAACGCTTCTATTAGAATTAGTTCTCTAATAACAAGCACCTATAACTATAACTGCCTTATTACTTAGTTAGATGCCCTAACGGCCTCGCTAATATAAAACCAACACTTCTCTAACTACCCTATAGCATAGAGTCGTACTAACCGTTATATATTAATAGCTCTTATTTAGACCGTTACTATATTAAATACTAAGCAATATCTAATACTATATCTTCCGCTATACCTACATCCTCTAATGTTAAAAATAATAATAATAATACCTAAAAGGATCTAGGTAAAACCCTTAAGCTTAGGAGCCCTAGACCTTTTAACGGTACTAGAGGAGAGCTCTAGGGATTTATTATATAACTTAAAACCTATTATAGGTTCTTTCTTAATAAACTTAGGTTCGCCTATAATAAAGTCCTATACGCGGGAACTTGCCTAGAAGGACTAGCACTCTTATAGTTTAAACCAATTCTACGAGACTTCCTCGAAAAGGCTAGCGATAATCGAGATAATAAAACTAAGACTATCTTCGCTACCTTTAAGGGGTTTAAGGAAGCTCTTAAGGACGCTTTCGGCAATATAGACGTTACTAGGGACGCTATATAGAAGATATGGTCTCTTAAATAGCGAGGATCTACCGCTAACTACGCCGCTATTTTTCGATAGATCGCTCTTAAGACTAAGTAAGATAACGAACCCCTTATAAGTATCTTTTATTAAGGACTTAAGGAGGAAGTTAAGGACGAACTCTATAAGGAAAACACTCCTAATAGCCTCTCTAAGTATATCGCTATAGCTATTAGGATTAATACTCGTTAGTATAAACGACGAAAAGAACGTTAAAATAAGAATCGTAATTAGGGACTAGTCTACGTTAATTAAGGAAATCGCTATAATAACTAAGCTAACTAGAGGAGACTATAACGCTACGCGAGTACCTCCTAAAGTGGAATAACCTATACTAGACCTATAGAACTAGATGCGATGCGAGATAAGTTAAAGGAGACTTATTATAACTATAGAAAAAAGGGACACTACGCCTAA